CATTAATTGATAGCTTTTGAATAATAATATCTGAGCACAAAATCTACCTTTAGATCTGAAGGTGAGCACCATTGGACCATCACCATCTATCAATTCAATTAATTTATTTGACACAGCAACACATACTTGGGCACTTATTTTAAGCCCAATATGAAAGCAAGGTGAGTGTAGAATGGAGTTCATCTGTGTAGCTTTGTTACTGATGATCAGCTGTTTCATTAGTCATAGTTTATAAAAAGCCCAACGATTAACAACAGCTGGGCCCCATTTTGAACCATATAAAACCTACTGACTTATCTCAGGATTGAACTTGTAATTAATTCCAAGTAATCTTTTTTAAAGCTACACTTGTGGATCAATTGACTATTGACTTCAAATTTAAGTAGGGTTTTAAGAGTGTGTACACTTTGAAGTAAGCATTTCTTTGCAAATTGAATTATAAAGTTACAGTATATTCATGACACATCAGCCTTTTGGACTGTTTTAGGTACTATAGTAATACCAGAAACAAAAGAACCCTGGGCCGTTTCGAGCCGCGCAGGTTTAAAGGGTTTTAAGCCACACCTACCGGTGCGAACCACATGATCTTTTCGTTTCTGCGCAGGTTGTTTTGTTCGTGGTATGTCTATAGGTACATTTTACTCAAAAACACTTTACTTTCCCTGTAGTAGCAAACCTACTCCCCAAACCTAACGTTTATTTAAAGAGGGACTAAATCTTGCATGTTTAGGAAACACAAGACCTTTGAGCAAATTGCACATTTCAATTTTGTTCTAAACTCGGTTCTGAGGCAAAACGAATAATGCCTTTTGATTCTCAAAGATTGTACGGTTTACTGTAAGACAGTCATTACATGAAAAGTGACATCTACGTCTCTACATGGGTTAGATCTACTCCATAAAGAGTAATTTACCTAAAATCAATATACTTAATACACAAGGGTTTTCACTGTTACATCCCTTTCCCAGCCGTCCTACTTAACCAAGTTTTACGATTGAGGTGTCATTTTAAAGCTTATAATCTAGTGCACCTACGAGTAACAAAAAAGGTAATTTACTTTAGGGTTTTGCCACCCTTACCTTTAATTTATTTCTAGAATCCATTTTCAAAAATCCAGTTTTACTTTATTTATAACAGTTTAAATGTGAATTGTAGTTTAACAGCTGATCCTTGATTTGAATGTTAACCACAGTCAGATTGTAAACTAGAGACTAAACAGTTTATGAAAATGTATTTTAAATAGGCTACTTTTCTACCAACTGTGACCTGATTGGTGTAGCTGATTGAATGCCTGTGATTGGGTTAGTCACTTTATATAGTTTAGATCTAAAATCATAAAAATTTATTGTAAGTTCACATAATAACTATTATAAACAAACTTAATCTTGAAAAGGTAAATGGGTAATACACTGGAGTCATGTATCGGAAACAAGTTTTGGGCCCTATTAATTAACCTGCACAACTTGGGGGTCCCCATCAACAATTTGGGATCCCTCATTCTGAAAAAGTAGCCTATTTATAATCTATTTTCATCATCTGTTTTGTCTCTTGTTAACATTATGACCAAGGTTAAACATTCAACTGAACAATAATCAAAGTACAATCCACATTTACACCTTTATAAAGAAAGTTGGTCACTCAAGAAAGTGGGTATCACTGAATATGTGAAAGCGAAATCTAAAAATAAACTAAACATGAGATGGGTGAAACTCTAAAGAAAATTTCCTTTTAGGAACCCTTCGGCTCCCTGCTAGGCCAAAAGCTTTAAAATGACACCTCAATTGTGAAAATCGGTTAAGTAAGACGGTTGGAAAAAGGATGTAACATAGAAAACCCCTTTTTTATTAAGTTTAAAGAAGATTTGAGTAAAATCCAATCAGGTTATTGGAGATTTGCTAAGTCTGCAGGTTTGCTGTGACAGGTGTATTTATTTTCCAGTAGGGTCCAATTTACTATTAAGAAAAGAAGTGTTGCTTTGCCGACCAAACAAGTAATTTTAAAAGAAGCTCAATTTTATAATTTTAAAGTCATTAATACATCACCAATATTAGATTTGTAACAATTTTATGTGTTTGTTAACATTAATGTGTTGTAAGGGTAAACAATATCTACGAATTAGTATTTATGGTGGGACAACAACAAAAAATTAAAAAAGATTTTGAAAATACAAAAAAAGTAATGAATGATACATAAGATACATAAGATATATAAAGACATAATATATAAATTAAAATATGACCAATCTTATTTTAAAGCGATTTGCATTTTTACAGTTCACGCCTTATATTTTTGAAACATTTAATGTTTTCAATATTGCTGAGACTCAAGAATTACCTGTGCATAATTAAAAGGGGTAAACATTATTTAGTTAAAAAACAACCAAGACTTGAACTTTTTAAAAATAGACCTTCTTATTTTAGAAACTATTTTTTTAGAAAACTTCCTAGCGTTTTAAAAAACTAAAAAGACAAATCTAAATTTATGAAAAAACTGAAGGCATTCTTACTTGATTTTGCACTTTACAGAATAGAAGATTTTTGTTATTTAAATTTTAAATTACGTATAGTATTAAATTCCATGTTGATGGTCCCTGGATTACTATGAATTACTATAATATTGTGGTATAGTTACCTCGTCAAGTAATCCAAATGTTTTTATGTTAGGTTAAAAACCTACATGTTTCACCGTTAATACGGCATCGTCAGGGTACAAACACAGAAATACATTACTGTCACACGCACACAATAAATAAATAACACGAAACGACACATTTAGATAGGTCTATCATACGACGCGGACGGTCCCGGCGCAGGTAGTAGACCTGCCTATCTAAATGATTTCTTATTTATTTATTGTGTGCGTGTGACAGTAATCTATTTCTGTGTTTGTACCCTGACGTTGCCGTATTAACGTTGAAACATGTAGGTTTTTTACCTAACATCATAACATTTGGATTACTTGACGAGGTAATTATACCACAATATTATAGTTATGCATAGTATTTTGAAATGTTTAACTGTTTCTTATTGCTAATTTAGGTAGTAAGTAACAATATAAAAATGTGTACTGTGTGAATATGGACTCGTTGAATCTCGAGTCAATGAATTAAAATTTGTATTTTTTAATGTTTTACTTTTAGGATAACGTTGACAAATTGGATGACATCGACTAATTGGATTTACTCTAATCCATGGCTATGGTTACAATTTTAAAATACAGCTCAAACAGCTCGCCTCTGGAATACAAAAGCTGTAAAACTAGTTTACAGGTATTACTGTTCAGTCAATATTTTTTATCAAATTATTTATATCTCTTCTGTCAAAATAAACTCTTAAATAAATAAAATTGTGTTAATTTCTTTTACCCCGTTTAACCACCTCCATTTCACCAGTTATTTAATGCCAAAAATAATCAATGGCAAGGTAACTGCAATTTGGAAAAATAATTAATTCTGTGCAACAATGAGCTCTAACAAATGTATTTATGTATTTACAATCACCACAAGATCAAGGGGAATAAATTATCATGTCATGGAGATTTTTTATAATTTTTTAATGAAGACAAAGAAAATGCATGTAGACAGTAAATCATTAACAGATTCTGGTAATTTTAAAAATGGAAGACACTCAAGACTATTTACTTGGGAAAAGCGCTCGAAACCCTTCAAAATTCTGTATATCAGCCTTGGATCCAACCTGGGTCTCTGAAGGCCGAGACACTAACCACTACGTTAGAGATACATCCTTTCATTATTTATTGAACATCTTCACATTCATCTTTTTCAACTTCCTCCGTTGAATAATCTATTAGAGAAATAAGCTACCACTAACTAAACTACTTCACTAACAATGCTTTTAAACTCAGCATACTTTGCATGCTTCACAGATTAATCAAATTTCCAAACTTTAAGTGTGCTAACCAACATATAAAGCAACTAAACATAGTTGTTAATAAATAATCCTAATCCATCAGTTTAGGTGAGTTCTTGATTTCTTTATATTACAGCTATTAATTATAAAATTGGTATTTTGGTATTTTTTCTAGAAAAAGTATAAACCTTAAAAAGTCTAGAGGAATGAATATCACAGAATATGTATCCACTAGATGGGACTATGTTATGTCCAAATTGGAGCCTAGCCCTATTGTTTACTTTGAATTGATTGTATCAATTTCTTCATAAGTTGCATCTTTATTTAAATTAAATTAAATCAAATTTGCTAACAGAAAAACTTTTTGGCTTGAAATAAAGATATAGGCTTTTTGCTTACTAATTTATTTTACCCACAACTGGGTTGTCAGTACAGGATTTTAATGGACTTGCCTTTCCATATAGTTCAAGTAATCTGTAAAAAATTTTGTACTACAAACAAGTACTATATAAAGTAAAAAAAAGTAGTTCTCTTTTGTAATATACAGTAGACTCTCGATTATCTGATGTTCGGTTATCAACTTTCCATGTTATCGGACCCTTCCAGTAGGTGATCGAGTACGGGATCAAGGAATCGTATGCTATTCACATTCATATGTAGTAGGTATGGGTATGAATACACTTGAGCGATTATGAGATAAACGAGACAATGCCTTAGAATGCCTCTATATGAACCCCTGAAGATATTTAGGCACCCCCTACTATCTGATAGTTTTAGAACACTTCATAACACACAGGTCATACCTGCATATCTCTCTGCCACCTCTTGTATCTCAATCTCAGTTCAAGCGGAGACGTCAGACTGAGAAAAACCGGTTATCACTTTAACTTTGTGTTGCGGTTGTGGTGTTTTGACTAAATCAGTTTTTTTTTATATTGGCTTGAAAACGGAGAATCATTATTAGTTTGATAATTTTCAAATTATTATCCGGGTTATCCTATCTTGTCGCAGCCAGTTTAATTGGATAATCCAGACTCCACCGTAAAACTTATAGACCTATTATGGTTGGGGCATGTATTATGATGGTTTAGTGGTTGACGGATGTTTAAGATGGTTTGTGGTGTGTTGCAGGAGGAGGACAGCAGCAGTACTTGCAGCAGATGATGCAGCAGATGTACGGGGGGATGTGGATGGACGGAGGAATGCAAAGTTCCAACTCAGGTCAGACTCCCACAGACATGGAGCAGGAGATGCTAGCCGCCTACCGCTACGGTCGACCCAACTGGAACGCCAACAGGTACTTGTGCACCAATTGTGGTAGAACTTACTCCTTACAAGCCTCTCTTTACAACCATAAAAAGTTTGAGTGCGGAAAAATGCCCAACTTCATCTGTCCGTACTGTCCCCATCGTACGAAACAAAAGGGAAACTTGAAGACACACATCAAGAAACGCCATCCAGAATTTTTCTCAGAGCCATTCATGCCTTCTCCGAGCAGGTTAAATTCGATGATGACTTCCATCATGATGCAGAACTCCATGCTGCAGCAAAATATGAGTGCGATCACCTCTCAAAACACGCCTACTTCTCAAACACAGAGTCCGATGCATAACTCGATAGTGCAAAGCTCTAGAATGCAGAACTCCTCTTCCAACTACATGCAGAACTCTAAAAATCCATCCATCAACAATCTGCTGCAAGCGATGAAGAATATGCCTCCCACTTCCTCGTCTGGACAGAGCGCCAATGCTCTCGCCAACGCCAACTTCATCCAAGCCCTTGCTCAGAGCTTACCCAACTCCACTAGCATTTCTCCTCTAGACATCATGCAAGTTCTGGCTCAAGGTTCCCAAGCTCCCAAGAGTCCGATGACGCCTCACGTCGGAATGTCACCCAAGAACACCTCTCAGTCCAACTTCAACGCTTCCCAGAGTCCGATGCCTTCTAGTAGAATGTCTCCAATGAACGCTTCCCCAGCGAGCACCAACCCTCCTCAGAGTCCGATGGCTGCCAACGTCACGCCTACGATCAACGGAGGAATCAAGTCTGAACTTCCCAAACAAGAAGGCCCTGAAGACTCGTCTTCTGAGGCTCCTAAAAGTCCTCCAGCTTCGAACTTCACCTCCCTCTCTCTGGAGCCTGCAGACTCCGATGACTCTTCCGACATCATGGTCCTACCCAGCTATCCTGTAAGTCAATAGTTAGTAGTTATATATGTGGCTAGGTATTTATTGAATGCAATAACGATATACTTAACTATGCAATCAAATATGCAAACAATAATGTAATATTTATTCGATGTGAACCTTGTATTATGTCTAATTAAGCTAAGAGATATATCATAAAGGTTTTGAGTAACAAAACTAAAAGCTGAGATTGAGTAGGTCAAACAGTGGAATATTTTTTTATGGTACATTTTAGTCTGTTTATTAGACCTTCTCACATTTCTTGACTGAAATTAATTAGTTTCAAAAACTTAAGTAGAAATTGTACTCGGGTTGGTCAATTTTTTTGTTTGTTAAATCATTATTATGTGATTGAAATTAAATCACATGTTGGTCATATTATCTATTTCAGTTGAACTGGATTTATAGCTAAGATTAATTTAATATTTATTAACACTTGCCTCACAATATTACAAGTCAACATTTCTCAATTCTAAAATTCTCCGTAGATATGACTGTTTGATACTTTGTAAATATACAAGACAAACATATTGCCAGCCATTAAATTTCCTCTCTAAATCTCTTCTTCAGACAAATTCTGTATTCGGTAGTTAAATTAATAATGTTATTGCTACTTAGTTTTTCCTATCAACTACAACTTCTCTAGCATGTAAACTATTTACAAAAGTAACTGTTCCGCTGGCAATCTCGCTGTCTTGCTACTCCGTCTCGGCTTTGAGAGTTGCTGTATATATTCCTGAGCTCACGTCTCCTTTACCTCGCAACTTTAGAAAAAGAGAGAGACCAAAAATCGTGTCGCGTGTAGCTCCGTTTATTCAAGTGAATGCAAATTATTTTTCAGTGATTAGATTTTTCATGTTTTTACTACCATCTGACATTAAGGTATTACCATTGCAAGTCGGCTTTTCTTGAACTACTTAACGAAAAACACCAGAACCTACTACTAGTTAGTTTTGTGTTTTTCTCATTGTTTCTTCATCATTTCATTTTAATATTGATATCGCAATGAATAAAAAATTATATAATGGGAAGAAAATAGTTATTTTTTAAATACTTTTGAGTAGTAATTTATACTGTGTATTTTTTATATGAAATTATTTTTTTAAGTTTTTTTTGTTGTTTATCCATTAAATAAATGCTTTAAATTGCCCCAGCTTGCAATGATAATTCTTCAATTGTGAGGATTCAGATTCATATTTAATCATTGTTACATATTCAAAGATCACCTTTTATATTTATCTTAACCCATCAAAGAATTAGTTTATACAAATTTTATATCAACTTTAGTATTATTAATTTTATGTTGTAATTAATATGTTTATGTAATGTTATACGAGTTGAAGTGTTCCTGTAGGCAAAGATTGTTTAGGCAGGTGAAAGGGCTCTGTATCTGTGCAATTTATATTTTGTAAATAATGAAATTTTACCATAAATAGTTAAATATTGGAGTAACTTGTTATTTTTTTTATTGTTTGATCAAACATCACATTTTATGTTTGAAATACTTCATTTACTCTTTCGTAACGGTTTTAAATGTTTTAGCTGGCTTTAACTTTGAAGAATCGGTGTTGTTATATGAGCATTGGATGATTTTCAATAGTTTAATAATGTTAACTTTACCTAATGAATTTTTTCATATTAAAATTGTTTTAAGTTTATATCTTTGCATGGTATATATGGATTTATTTAAGACAGGCAGACAGTAGATGTTTTTTTTTTTATAGAGAAAGAGTAAATGAAGCCGCAAGCTTTATAAGTTACTGTTGTTTTAATACATGGATTTTAATAATAGCGTTGCAGTGTTAAGAGGTTTTCCGTTTAATTTTAGAGAATCTTTTATTGATGTTATGAAAGTAAATCAAACCAAGAATCTATTTGGTTTATAGTTTTTAAAAAGAAACAGTATGACTAGGAAGATGAACTTTATTTGCATGCAGTATTATCAATATTGTTATTTATTTACTTGTGTATGTATTTTTTATACTTTTCTTGACCTAAATTTAGATGCAAGATTATTTTTATATTGTGTTATGGATGACATATCTCTGAGAAATGGTGTTTACAAAAAAGTGTTAAGTAGTTAAGACTAACAGTAAGCCTTTATAGTTTGAACGTTTTGTCGAATTTGGCTAGTCTAAGTTACCTGGTAAGTGAATTTAGTTCTCCTCTTGACAAGTTTTAAAATTTGATTGTTTTTTACCTACCCTACTAAAATAATAGGGTTGAACTAAAAAGAAATAATATTATAGTGCAATTTATTAATTTTTTCTATTGATTTGGATAGTTATTTGTTGAAATTTTTATTACATTTCCCAAAGTGCCCTATGTTTGTGTTGATCTGATCTTTGTTAGTTTAGGTTTTAGAAAACTCGTTTTTGAGATATATTAAACCCCCATGACTTTTGTCATATCATAAGTAAATGATTGTTGTTTGTTCCCCTAGGGGCGTTTTCTGTAGTTATTCACATTTAACTGAATGCCATTGAATTCCGAGTGCTGGTAACTCTGAGAATTATGTTTGGTATTTTAAATGGCTTGATGTTTTGTATCTGAAATTCCTAAGTTTCTTCATGTGTTTTGGCACCATGGATTCAGTTAAAAAGAATTAGGAATTTCATAAGAGAAACAACTATTTTTATGTGTTTTAAAGTTGATTCTTTAACTCATTCTGCCTAAAAGGTATAAGCCAATGTATTCACACTATAAAATATTTTTTAAGGACCAGAGTGGCTTTAGTGCTCTTCTCTCCCTCAATTCTGAAGATTGCTGGTTCGATTCTAGACCTAGAGAGACTATTTGTCATTGGCCTACTTAATTATGCTTTAAACTAAAATTTGACGTTATATAGTAACAATACTATATTGCCACAGTTCTCAAGTCACATATTTTACAAAAAGACATAACAAATTAAAATAAAATATTCAACTAAACAGACAGCTCTGAAAGAGTTATTTTATTACGTCTACGGCCAAACTAAGCGTACAAAACGAACAGAAAACGCCCCTTGACTGGTATTTTGTTGTCAAGTGCTTCTTATTAGTCCAATAATCGGTGTCTCGTATTCATTTGTAATTTGGATGTGGATAAAAGGCTGACAAGATCTGGTTATTTATTTGTGTATACCCGTTACGTTGATACGTAATAGTTTTAGTTTCTTCAGCTACAGTATTGTCAATTCGCCTATCTCGACGATATTATCTGTATTATCCTTTACTTGAAACGTTAGCCTCAGTATTATTTATATTGTAAGGTTATATGTGAACGTTATATGTGTACGTGGTGATTGTTTAAACTCCTATGCAACAGAATCAAATCAAAATATAGATTATTTGGTGTCGTCCCTTATCCCATGTCAGAGCAAATTTCTGTGTTAGATCAATAGCTAGTTTCGTTGGCTGTATGGTGGATTGATTTTTGTATGATCAAATATATAGATAGTATATTATTTAAGAATCGATAGAAATTGTTACGATCATACTTCTCACCAATATTTTTTTATACTTTTACCTTAAAATGGTGACCATACGAATGTAGGTATTTTAAGCCATACCATTGATACATAGCTAATAAAATCTCAGGTCTATTGTACAACATAATCTCTCCTAAAACTTTTACAAGATTTTTTTGTTGAAATCAAATAGGTACTGGATTCTTTACCAACTAAATTGATTGTAATTATTTCAGTAAAATTTCTTTGAGTTTTAAAATTGACTAGGGATATTATTATAAGCATCTTATTCGTGTATTTAAGTTGTAGACTGTTTTAAAATGAAAATAAACGTAATTGAATGTTCCGAGAAAGTGTGCTGATCTAAATTAATCACCGATTTCCGTCACACTCACCTTTTACATGCACACCTTTATACGAGAGCTGAAAGGATAACTTAGTACTGAAAACTAATTAAGTAAATGTAATTTTTACATTGGCTCACCCTGAAATTGGTTTATTTGATCAATATGAATTAAAAACAAATGTCTAAAAGTCAATAGTGTGATATAAGGTTATTTATTTTAATCTTTTTCACCAACAGGTTTATTACTATTTTTTTTAATGCAACACCAAATGTTTTTATTATTATATGCCAAATTTTTGTTCTTTAAGATCATGAATATTTTTATTGTAAATTTGTGCCCATCTGTGGCTTAAATTTTGGACCATGATTCACCATAATGATTTAAACTCCCTTTTGATGATTTCTTAGTCCTCACATGCATGAATAAATCTTATAATTTTTTTACTCTTTCCAATGTTTAGCGAAACTCCGCCATACAGCCATACACAGAAACTACACATGCCTTATTATTGTTTATCTGAGTTTTGCCGTTGGACTGTTGTTGTTATTTTTATACTGCCTTGAAGCATTTACAATGGTCGCTTGTGAGATTGTTTGTTACAATTTCTTGTATATTACATGCCTAGAATACATTACCAGGAGCATATATACACTTTTATATCATATTTAATTAGGGTTAACGAGTAGTATTTATTTGTTTATGTGCATTTGGTTCCCAAGTATTCTTCCTACGTGGCTGGACTGTGTTAAACTGAATAGTTGTTGGTTAACAAAATGTATTAGGGAAATAAATTAATTTATAAAAGTAGTTATGAAATTGAACACTGTTAAAATGACTTGTTTTAGTAAATATACAACAATTTTTTTACAATTTCAAATTGTGTTTATACATTTTTATGATTAGTTGTGTCTTGCCAGCAAGTTTTGCGAACTTGGCGAGGCCAAGCAACTGTTATTTTATGAATAAGTATATTTGAATGCATTTATGGTTCAAGTATAAACTTTGTTGAAATAGTGTATTAGAAAATGTGGGAGTAAGATTTAGTGTTTTGGAAATTTATGGAAAAAATTATCAAACAAAATAACTGCTGAGAGACTGTCATTTTTTTTAATTATTTACATAAGCTTAGCTTGTTCAATTAACTATTCAACTATTTCAATTAACTAAGTTTCAAACGCCTTACAGTACCATTATAAAACCTTAAAAAATTAATAAACACTTTACGTTAAAATAAAATGCCTTTTATCCCTTAAGGGGGAAGACTATGTCAGGTCAAAGGTAAGAAACAAGGATGAAGAAACAATAATCTCAATTACAGTGGAGTTTGATATATTATTGTCAAAACTTGTATAAAAGGTCAACTGAATGTTTACCTTAAAATAAGTAAACACTACTTACATAGGAAGAGACTTGCTTCGTAATGTACCTAAATAGATACCATTCAGTTGATTTTTTTAAGGAGTCAGTTATGCCATGTTTTTTTATACACCTGGAACTGTTTTACACATTACTTCAGGCTAGACCTAGAGGGCTACGGTATTATCACCTAGGTAAAATCCACGGTAATTGGCAGGATTTGAACCCGGTACCTCTGGGGCTTAAGTCACATGCTTTACCGTTAAACCAGCTGTCTCCCGCAAGTTTGGATAGAAGAGTTGTTGACTTTGAATTGTGCCATTAAACGTATTATTGTAAAACCCAATGTCTCATGTTGGTAATATTGATTAAATGTTTCAATTTTACTTTTGAGTAGATTATGCAATCTCTGATTTTTTTAGAGGTTGGCAGCCTCTCTTAACCTTGCATTTGCCCATCCACATAGGCTATGGACATGTGCACGGAACGTATCCAGCAAAGCAAGGGGTGTATCGGTACTACAAGGGTGAACTGTACTGAAAAAAGGACAAGTTTTCTTGAAAATCAGAGGGCAAACTAATGTTTATACTTAAATTGTATTCAGAAAATTGTTTTAAAATAAGCTAAATAACAAGACAAAAATAATAAACAACAAAATTTACATCACTTAGGTGGAACTATCTTAAAACGGTCTTCAGTTATTCTATAAGGATTTAGCCTATCTAAAAAAAATTAAATAATTTTTTTCAAGCGGGATCATTAATGTCATGAATTCTTAACTTAAAAATTACTTACTTTGACATTCAACTGTTATCATATTTTAGTCAAAAATTGTATGTTATGCCTTTTTTCTGCCCTACCAAAGTTCCTAGTGTGAATATATCAAGTTATGAAGATGAGTATTGTTGCATGCTGTATTAAATGTTTAATATCATATAATATCTACTTTAAGAACTCAGTTTTGGACGGTTCAGCCACTTAATCCTCCATCATTTTAGTTAGACTATGCATTAGTAAAATATTTATTTAACAGTGTTTGTCTGATAATTTGGTAATACTGTTGCTTCCGCTTTGGTTGTCTTTGGATATTGTTTAGAATAAACAAATTTATTTATCAATTATTATAATGTGTTCTCTTTTGCCCTGTCGTATTTTAGTTTTCTATAAAAAGTATTATTCACAACATTAGCACCTTCAAGTGTTGCCTGAAACTGATTTAAAAACACAAAAGTATCGTAGAAAACACACCTACGTATTATTGATCATACTTCAAATCACTTATTTGTGATTGTTTCTTTTCAAGAGCATAAATTCAGCAGTTATTAATGTAGTTAAAAGATACTGTGATGGTTTCTGGGCTAAACTCTAATGTCCAGGAAAGTATCACAGAATTCTTCAACGTGTCAGTTACACACCAATGAGATAGGGATAGAACTGGAGGTAGCACTATATGAGAGCATTGCGAGACATTGTCTGCCATCTGTTCTAGGAGTTGAAGTATATTTTAAATTACCTCCTTTAGTACAGTGGGCGATAGGATTGTATATACATAAAGCCATGAGTCAATGAGCTGATGCCTCTAGTTAGTACCAACCTAATAAAATTACAGTGTGTTGATTTTCTAGCAGAATCACCAAGTCAGCTCAGTGTGACACCTCTTACACATAACAAAGAAGAGTCAGTAGCTTTTAAAGGATCGAAACTGGACCCAGATGTCTTGGCTTTAAATAAATAGTTCATACAGAAACAGCTGATCTTATTACTTAAGAAAGCTATAAAGGGTTGGTAATCTTGAACCATTCTACACTCACCTTTTCATTCATATTTAGCATTAAATATGCAAACAATTTACGCTTAAAGTGATCAAAAACGTTTATATTGAAAAAGATTAAAACTATGAAACTGTAGAACTGTTAGTTATGAAACAGTAGTTACAATGAAACTTTGTAAGATTAAAGTTGTAGCTAGATCTTCAAACTATGAAAGGAATTACTTTATGCTCCTTTTTATTCAAAGAACAACAGATATTGAGAAAACCAAAACAAGAACGTTGATAGGTTATGGAATGTGGTCTTTTAAATGTTCATTTTTGATATTCCAAAGTTTTACAAAATGTTTTTATTCTCACAGACCGCTCAAATAGTTAGCTTCACGATAGTAAGTCAAATGCATAGTCTACATAACTGAGTTATTAATTAACACTTCAGTACTAATAGTGCATACTTCTATGAGAAAATTTGAATTTGCTCCATGATTACATGATTTAACCCTTTAAATCCAAAGGTTGATTATTTAGCTAACTAAGATTAACCATAGACAAATAGAATGAATATAGACTGTCAAAAGAAGGTTCCGGCGCCCACCGCTAGGAGTGCCATGTATTTACGGTGCACATCCCTGCAGACGAGGAGCGCAAAAGCCGTATGTGACAAGCAGTAGCTGCAGCGGTGTGCGCCGTAACTACATGGCAAACCTAGCGGTGGACGCCAGATCTTATGCTAACCACAGCACAGCTGATGATCTAAATTTATTCTATTTTTCTATGGATTAACATAACTAAACCATTCCTCACTATTTATTTGAGCATTACTAAAAAAATTTAACTGAAAACTGAACCTGACATGTGTATTATCCTGGAAATCTTAAACTTCTACACTTAGGCTTTGCCACAGACATTATGTTTATCATTTATCAACTAAGATGGAGACGCCACCTAGGTGCATATTTTAACCCAAAATGAGTGAAGGATTAATGTAGAGAGGGAGATGCGTTGTTATTGACTGAGATCAGCTGATTCATCAGCCAGGATTGGGTGAACTGAAGCTGGACACCTTATCTGACCGAGACAAGAATCTCAATCCACAAAGCTGTCTTCTGGCAGGGTCCTAGACTAGGATATTGAACATAGCTAACAGTCAACCAACTACACAAGAATGATGCCAGAAACTTGTTAAAAATACTTAAGCAAATTAGAGTTGTAAACTTGTCCCTAGTTGCAGTACATGGTACGCAGAACATGATACGTGCAGTGCAGTACGTGGTTTCAGCACGTGTTATCTATATTCTTGAGCCGTTTTCAATGCTTAGGTAGCCGAATGGTTTATAGTGCTCGCCTTTAAACTCAAAGGTTGCTGTTTCGATTCCATGTAATATAGTTTCAAAGATGCCATTTGTCGGGGTATGAATTAAAGATGCTATCTAACAAAAAGGTCAACGTTAGATAGTAACAAGAACAGGGTTTGGACCATTCAAACGTAAAGAAATGCTATTGCCGTAAAAACAAACAGTAAATTTTTTTAAAGTAATAAAAATGCAATGTTTACTTTTGAGTGTACATTTCTTAGGTAAGGTTTTATTATTTGAGGATTTGATGTTGACATCAAAATAACATCAATATTAACCGAGTTATTTTTAGGTAAATTTTCAAAGTAGCTTTTTACCATGCTTCTAAATCTATTTATTCAAACCATTAGCCACATCTCACTCAAAATCATGTTTTTAACTTTAAACTCAACTCTTTCTCTTTAAACAAAAAGATGCATAACAAAATGCAAAATAGCTTACTGGAAGATAAAGAAACAAGCAGGTTTGTCAATTCATAGAACTTTACATTCCTACATTCCTGATTATCATCAAAAGCTGGGTTTTCCTAGGAGCAGAGTGCAGAGAAGCAATTTTCTGCTCGTGCTGTGCTGTATGCTTCGTTTCTAGGAAAAAATAAGCTGACCATTAAATTACATAAGACGAGAAAAGAGCAGACTCCGCTCCAGCACCTTGGAAAACCCAGCTTTACGAACCGTGAAATCACAAAAATTTAATTCCCTGCTAGTTTTTTATTTTTATTATTTACCAAAATAATTATTGAGTGAATAACCTCATTTAAGTATCCTTATCTGAAGGTTTTCTTATTTGTTCCCGTTTGTCTTTTCCGCATTATGTCAAACAGTTAATTATCAGTATAATATATTGCTGTATCAAAGGCATATATTAAGTAAACATGTGGGTGAACAAGGAAATTTTCCGTTAACAAAATGAAAAATGTATCAAGGTAAAACATCATTACTATCTAAACAAGGTTTACAATCATGTTTGTTCTTATAGAGTTGTACTATTGGTAATTAGGATTTAAAGAGCTTTAAATTTATTTTTCCTACAGAATATACCTGACAAAGAGGGATTTCTTGTACTGATTATAGTCGGCTACACAAAGAAGCTGATTCCTGCTTTTACTTACTTTCCCACACTCCAGTATTTAAACAACTCAAAATAGTGTGTTTGTATTAGGCATGTTATACGGTTATATTTGAAAACAAGTTGGCAACTCTACTAAATTGATCAGCTGGTGCATTTTTTGTTTGTCATTCCATTTGACCATTGATAGCCCACAACAAATTAACCTGTTGTTGTGTGTTAACAATTATAAACCGAAAATTATCCTATTCAGATTTTGATTTATATTATTTTTATTTTATCATCTTAGTTAAATTTCATTCAGAATTGTGACAGTTTCATTTAGGTTTTGATTTGTTTGTGAGACAATTTCATTTAGGTTTGAATTTCTAAGTGGACATCTTATTCCGATGTAAAAATTGTAGTTAGTTTTGAAGTGAAAATTAAATTAGTAAAATTGAATCACTGATGGAGTTTACTGATGTAAATTCTAATTGAAGACAAACTGAAAGAAAAATTTATTGTGAAACTGTAGGATTGAGGTTTTGGACTGACCTTATAAGAAAAGTAAATAAAAGAAACGTCTAAAAATTTAACACTTAATAACACTTTAAACTTACGCTTATACTGTTACTCACAAGACGGTAAATATACAAAAAAGATGGTAAGTGGTGATCGATTTCAATTGGACACTCCAATCATCATCAGGCCCAATAGGCGAATGACTTTGGGTCTGATGATGATGATTGGAGTGTCCAATTGTAATCGATCACCACTTACCATCTTTTTTGTATATTTACCGTCTTGTGAGTAACATTTTAAGCTTAAATATATGTTTTAAGTGTTATAAGACGTTTCTTTTATTTACTTTCTGTAAATTTAATAACTCGTAAAATGCTAATCAAGAAGTTATTTGGACCTTATAAGAATAAAGACGATTAATAAAATTAAAATAAGGAATCCGAGCATTGATTTGCCTATACAGTACTTAAAAAGACTTGAATAATGCTGAAAAAGAGGCTTAAAAAATATATTTCCAAATATCTTAGAGGATCATTTTGTTTTATATGTTTTGTTGATACTGACTTAAGAGGACATGTCCTAGAACACCCTCAGTCCAGTGATGTTTCGGCGCCCTGGACTGAAACATCACAAAACTATTTAACGAAACATCAACTAACATAGATAATTTTTACCATATCAGTCTTAGCTTACACAATCATCATTATACTTCTACAAGGTGTTTTTAACTGTATGGAAAATTGTAAGACATTATATTTTTATTTTTTTATTTGTTACTCAAAAGCAGATGAGAGTCAGAGATACATATGGTTTGCTTTTAGGGAATTTCTTTACAGCCAAAAGAAGGCAAGGAAGGCAATCATGAGACCACTCTGCAGTCAAGGTACCTTCACAATTCTAAGGAAAAATTCTGGATGAGGGTAGGTATAATATTTTAAAACAGTAACATAATATTACAGCTCGTGACATCTAAGCTGGCACTTGGCCGATCGCTACTAGTACCTATTTCAAAAACATTATGTCCCGTAATGCGGGTTGCATCAGCTGTCCTCGCGACCCATATGAAGGCGCTCAAGTACATAATACAGGGAGAGTCAACCCCGTGAGGCAGTGGAAATGTTTGCAGTCCGGTCTTTTCCCTACCTCCACCCTCCTCCCGCCTACACTGCCCGCGCTAGGGCAAGTGCCAGCTTAGGTGTCACGAGCTGTACTAGATTATAGCAATAACTTGCTAGTGAAAGGAATTAGGTATTCTCAGAGAAGGTAAGAGGTTGGATTCAATTTCAGTTTAATGTTCTCATAGTAATTTTAATAGAAAGAAGTGCATTCTTAAAGTTGATTTTTCATAGCTGCTCAATTTGTTAGGGACTATACCCTGGAAAATGCAGGATGCAGGCACAACACTCGCACGATATTCTAAATTTGACAGCGACATTCAGAAGCTGAAATTAAATCAAAACTCCAATATTATTTTTACAGAGAAAAATTAAATCGTTGTAGGGGCCTCTGTATGGATATATGTTAACAAAATTTGGTTATTTTATTAATTTTACTTAAAAATATGTTAAAATGTATATCATTTAAATAGAGAAGAAATTAAATTCCCATTTTGGACTCAGAGGAATTGCTACGATCGTAGATCTTGGAGACATAGTTCATTGCTGCGTCCCAACATAAACTAGTCAGACATGTGTGGCTTGTGCCGCAAAACTTGGCTTGGGTGTGTGTCACGTGCATCTCAGGATACATCTGGCCTAAGGTTATACATTTTTGTGAGTTTATCATCATGTTGCACTGTAATTTCACTACAGTAAATACCCCATTATTGGTGATGAATATCCCCATTGTATAAGCTAACCCATTACACTAGTTTGAAATATATATAAAAACATCCAATTATGTGAATCTAATATGTTAAAAGAAATTTTGTAATAAGTTTGAGTAAATTTGAGTATTTTTTTTTTTTTGGAATTGTAAAAGTAGTTTTGTCTAATAACAAACTAGGATAAAAACCATTTCGGGAGCATCTTTTTTTAAGTTATTTAGTTAGTTAGTTTGCATAACAAATGTTGCAGCATGAAAAAAAAAGTTCTTTACAAAGACCAAAAGTTTTTTAACTCTCACTCATTTACAAACCTCGGTTTAACCTCTGTTAAGCGTTTGTGTAAAAAAGAGTCACTAATGGCCCTGTTAATAAAACTTTATTCTTGATTAATGCTGTTACTATAACATCATCATTGTGTGCAGGTGTTAACGGCAAGTTTACGTGTTTGGACTGCTCCAAGTCGTACGCACAGTATGCGTCGCTCTACCGTCATCGTAAATTTGAGTGCAACAAGCCTCCGGCGTTCAAGTGCCCGTTCTGTCCACAGAGGACAAAACAGAAAAGCAACATCACTGCGCACATTCGGCTGAAGCATCCTGATTTGTCGCATAAAATAATGTAGTCTACCTTTAAATTTATTTTTAGATTTTTTTATAAGAATTTAACAATGGGTGCAAATTATATTTGAGATATATATTCTATATATATATTTTTGCTTTTGATTTTAAAAGATTAGTAGTTATTTATGAGTAGGGTGTGTTGTTGAATCTATATTTTACTATTTATTATAGTTTTTAATTTTGGGAAAGAATATGACCACTGATTGTTGTACTTGCAAAAAAATCTAGGGAATTTTGTTTGAAGAGTTTCAAGTTTGCCTAGTTTTTAGTTTTTTTTTTTTTTTTTTTATCTGACTCATATTTTATTCATTATGCATGTTTTTATCAAATTAAGATCAGTTAAATACAAATTTAGTGTAAAAAGACACTTTTCTTATTGAAAATATCTCAAGCAAAAAATGGAACTAAAAATATTAAAATATTTTGTACCAGTAGGATTTTACAGGCTTAGCCTTGTCATGCCTCTATGGTGTCCATTCAATTAATCCTAGTTACCAGTTTTCCTTACTGGGTGGTATCGTTCTTTTTTTAATGTAAATAATTGTTATTAAATTCTAAACCAAATACAAATTTTAATTTTTTTTACATGAGGATTTCATATATTTCAAACCTGTTATATTTATGTGTTTATAATTTCTTGTTGCCTTTTTTTACTTTCAAATTATAAGTAAAAAAGCGCTTAAAAAATTAATTTTACTGTTATTGTTATTATTTTTTTATAAAAGACGATAAATATCTTTATAAATTAAGGTGAGTGCTGAGTGGTAAAGGATAAGTGCCGATTGATTTACATCGGACACTTCAAACATTATCTAGCACAATTAGAATAAGAAAACTGGAGATGATTTTGTTGTTTTATCATGTGAGATGATGATAATTCAACTGTTTAGTTTAAGTTTATCACCATTTACCATTACTTATATTAATCGTCAATTGTAGATGAGTGCAATAGGGCCTATTTGGTACTGAACACATTTTCTGAGATTTTTTTCATGTGGTGTTTTACATGTATTTTGTTTGTTGAGGAAATTAAGTTAAATTTTGCCAATTTGTTCACCTTACTTTAAATGAAACAAATTGCCATACGCTATTTTTATAATTAAGAGTTTTACTGTTGATAATAAAAATATAACTTCCAACTAACTACTTTTCACAAGTGGATATTTTATTTTTTTATTGTTAGTTAGTGTAAAGGCTCCCTTAACTTTAAAATTTGAATGTCACATGATTTAGGATAGGCAGTGAAAGTTAAAATATATAAACTAGGATGGCAATCTCTGACAAGATAAATTTCTTTATTTACATTGGCAACAATGTAACAGCTGATGAGAAAATTTCTCAACACATTTTGTCCTAATCAGTTTGATGAGGTTCTTTAATTTTACCTAAATAAATTCTTGATAAAAACTCGGGTTCCAAAAACGAAGTCTTATGTCAATTATATTCTAAAAATTGACTTTTGAATACTGAAACAGCCGTAGCCAATTTTTCAGTAAGTAATTTAATTCACCACTCACTGAAGGTGTTTTAAAATATTTTTTTTTCTTTTTAATTTCTCAATACTTTGATAAATGTGTGAGATAAGTCTACTCTCGTTTACAGTTAGCTGTATATTTTTCAAATTTTTTTGACTTAGAGGCTGTTGCATTCAACGGTAATTGGTAATAGAGATCCGTAAACACACACAGGAGATTTTGGGATTGATGTAGAATAAGAAACTTGCAACGTCAATAGAAACTGAAAACACGTCATGGATCTGTACTGACAAATACATTTTTACAGTGGTACCATCAATGTCCTCAAGTTTGACATTACTTAACATTAATTTGCTAGCCCTTTAAGTAGTTTATTTGATAAATTAGATCAAGGTTATGCTAAGGTGGGTTTAGTTAGGTTATGTTAGGTTATGGGTATTCAAACCAAATAATAAGAACGCTTTGGCATTAGGGTCAAGAAAGTCTGCATTAATATTTGGCATTATAATGTGTAAATTCCTAGATATGCATAGGTTAACGTTAATCGCTACCAATTTGTCAAAAGTTGTTGATCCCAAAATCTCCTTTGTGTTTCCCCTATCCAGACTGATCAGAAATCAGAATAAAGTATTGATTGTATTAAGAATATTTGGTGGTTTGGTATTTTTACTGCAACGCTTACCATGTTCTAGTGCCTATGTTCGTGTGTGTATGCGGACGAAGCTACAGACATCAAACTTCTCTGATGAAGCATCGCAGACTCGAGTGCGGGAAGGATCCGCAATACGAGTGCAAGCTGTGTGCCGCTCGATTCAAACATCCGCATCGTCTGCGCTCTCATCTCGCTACTCGACATCCAGCCTTCCAGATAGCTGTGACATCATCTTAGTTTACTTCTGTATTTTCATTTTTCAAATACAATATAGTTTTTTAACAGGTGAGTGTTAAGTACAGTAGGCGCTCTTTTACCCATTGCTGTAATGATCTTACAATCGGTATAAGTTCTGTGATTAGTTATCGGTAATTTAATCACCCCAAGTTTTACTTGCCGCATGTTTATCAGAGTAAGATGGTTTATAATACTGAATAATTTTTGTTGGTGCTATAAGATATAAACAATTTTTTGTGTTTGAAATTAGTACCCAATTAGTTTCTTGAGATTTTCTGTTTGAAAAGTATGTGTTACGCAAATGAGTTTTACGCTGAGCTTCTTATTGTGCTGGTTAAAAGAGCGCCACTGTGATATTAAAGGTAAGTGATTTTCAATTAGTTATTTTGGATTTGCATAAAAAATTATTTAGTCTGAATCTTTACTTTTTCAACATTTACCTTCCTATACAGTAGTTTTAACATAAAATTAAACTGCGGCTTTTAAATCCAATTTTTTGGCAAATTTATGACAAACTTGGATCAAAATTAAACAGGAAGAAATGTACGTAATAACTGTGTTTTTATCGAAATTCCATCTAGAAAAAGTGTTAAGTATTTATTTTGGGAAACACTGTAAAGGCTAAAATTTGTTGTTGGATCTAGAGGGATCACTTGAAGTAGGAAGTACAGGTAAAAATTGTAAGTTGGCACTTGGCTCCTAGGTAGAAAATGTGTATTCGTCGTCAAGAAAACATCAGACACTATTGCCATCCCTCGCTGGTGTCATGAATCGCGGCTTGCCTGTCCAAGACGGATTTTATTTGGGTACACATCTAATTGGCACCACGTCAGATTGGCACTCCTAGAGGTGCCAATCAGTCGTAACAGTACACAACAGATTAGAACCTCGAGAAAGAGGTGGTGCCAATCTGTCGTGGTGCCAAGCTGACGGCGGCCGCAGAGGTGCCAATCAGTCGTAACAGTACAAGACAGATTGGAACCTCGAGAAAGGGGTGGTGCCAATCTGTCGTGGTGCCAAGCTGACGGCGGCTGCAGAGGTGCCAATCAGTCGTAACAGTACATGACAGATTGGAACCGCGAGAAAGGGGTGGTGCCAAGCTGACGGGGGGTGATATTTCAGGGCTTCATTTCAACGTGGTTCCAATGTGACGCTGGGTGCTAAAACACCATGGTGCCAATCTGACAGCAACCCTTTTATTTATACCTAATTATAGGATTTATTAGCACGCTACTGTGCACGCCCTAGTTAAAAATACAATAATACAAAGGGTGCTAAAATTTTTATTTAATATCACGCTTATGTTATAAAATTATTTAACAATAATTTCAGTTCTGCCCCATTACAATCGGATTATTTTATCGGGTTTCATAATGTTTGAATTGTTAGAAAATACTTATTTCCAATAATGTTGCATTAAATAATATAAAGCTCAGCGTATACAAATGTTTTTTAAATCCAGGTTGAAGGTCAGGTACAACTAAGTGGATAATCGGATTTACAAACAACCATCCCGTTATTTCGTCGTATGCGTTAGTGGGCGTCAACTGTATGAGTAAATCCAAGAAAGGCGATGTTTTTTTAAATGACCTGCCAGCCTCTCCACCCACCCCTCAACCAGGGCCTCACTCTGTGCCTCGTAGCACCCGCCCCGCATGCCACCTTACAATATTTCATGTGTACTTTTTCATCACCTACAGAGAGGCTTCGATGTCTTGATGCTTTATTTCGGAATATAGTTTGCGATCAAATTATTTTGATATAAAATCTCTACCATAATCTCTGCAGTTTCATACAGATTTAAACCACGGTGGAAGGAAAATACATAGGTATGCTATCCCCGTCATATGCTGACGTCACCCAGCTTGCAAACGAAATATCACCTGATTGTATTGCCATAAAGTATATATTTGTTTTGATTTGATTGTTATTGTTTTTATAATTTTTCTAAATGGTAAAATGGTATTTGCAATCTGAGTGACGTCAGCATACGGCAGGAATAGCACACCTATGTATTTTTCTTCCACCATGGATTACAACTGTGTAAATTAATTGAAAAGTTAGCTACTGTGGAAAAAGATATAGCATCTTATGTGAGTGTTAACACGATAACACAATAAGAGATAATGAATAAAAACCCCAACACAGAGTGTATGATCCAGTTTTAGTGGTAGAGATCGAGAATCATGGTTATATTATATAAATTGAATAAACTACTTCAGAATCCATTATGTATATACCCCAAGTAATAACTTGACATTATATTTTTCTCAGACCTTTTCCGTCAATTCACTACCTCTTCTTAATTTTTATGTAACAATACACAATTTAAGTTCTATGTAAGGTCTCAATCCAAACCTAACCTAACTCTACACTGGTTTTCCAAATAATCACAATAAACATGAAAAAAATTATTGATCGTGAATTACACAGAACAGGTACATTTCCTTTATTAGAAAACTAATTTTACCAACTGTCAACTCAAATAACAGCTGTTTGTTTCAGGGCCTTCTACCAAATCGTCAAAAGAGTTTCCGTGTACTTGCGGACGTAAATACAAACATTACTCGTCTCTGTACACTCATCAGAAATACGAGTGTGGGAAACCTCCTTCGTTTCAATGTACCTTCTGTCCAGCGGCCTACAAACACAAACATCGACTGAAGGAACACGTGACAATGAAACATTGGCAACTACAGTTCACTGGTCATACCATCGACAAGTAGTTCGTAGTTTGTGTGACGGTCCAAACAATATTGATGGATTATTTCTTTTATTAAAAAACAAAAAGTTGTTGTTCATCAATGTATGGATCATGAAGAATCTAGAATCTGTCTCAACTGTACAAGTATAAAAATGGCAATATAGGCCTAACAAGGTATTTCATTAGAGTATGTATAAATTTCAGATTTGAAAAGTAGTAAAACATGTCAGATAGTACAACAATTTTTTAAACTAGTTTAGAATGTACAGCCGGTGGTAAAATATCAAAATTAAGACAGAACCGTTTGCAGGATGAGTTAAAAATTCATAAATAATAACTTTTTCTAAATTTTCTTTATGACTTGGGGCACTTGGGATTTTAGGGGTAGGACTACTTTGAGATTTTTGGGGTCTTGGCCATCATGTAATATCGAGAACAACAGTGTACTGGTTATACATTTACAAATAGTCCATTAAATTTATAAATTGACCATTGACAGTTTAAATAAAAGTGATAATTTGTTTTGTTTCGTTTTTAGATGTGATAGAAAGTTGGTCACTTTAAGATTAAATTATGGTAGAAGCTCAAAAGTCTATCAAAATAATAAACTTGAAAAAAGTCATCAAGATGGTTGAATTTTCATTAAAAATTTTTGCTGAAACAATACAATTATCTTAAAATTTGTCTAATGAATTTTATTTTTAGAGGTGAAAGCAAAACAGGGCAATGTGTTGCAAATCTATTGACAAAATCTACTGTAGAACCTAAATAATCTAAAATCAACGAGGCAACATATTACACATTATCAAAATTTACGAAGAAAACCATTTTTCTCAGAAATATTAGATTTTTTTACAAATAAGTTTCTGCGAAAGTGATTGTTATAGTGTGGGTAGGATTGAATTTTTTGTTCATAGAATTTTGTTGTTGTTGACAGTTTCTTGGATAAAAATGATCTAAAAAGAAAAGTCATAAAATATTAAACTTTAAAAAAAAAATACACTTACAGACATAATTAGACAGATATTCATAAAATCAATGTAAATTTTCTTACTAAAAAATGTATTGTATTCTTGATGAAATGTAAATCTATAATACATCCTTAAACTTTTTATTTGAACTTTTTTGGATAATTTCAAACAAATTTGGGGTAAATTATTTTTTTACTTTGCAAATTTAATCCCTCTAAATAAATTGGTGGGACTACTGTATTTGATTCATATCACCAGTAAATAACCCCCCCCCCCCCCACCAGTAGTTAACATTAATCATACTAGTTAGTTTGTCTGACTAGTTTCTTCAGATGTGTTAATTATAGTCCGTCCGTTTGGCTATGATACCCAGCGGATTAGGAACCTTCTTGGAACTCGACTCACCGTTCAGACCCACTCGCCAGGCTGGCCGTTGATAAAAAGTTTACCTACCTACTGTCACAGTCCCACAGATCTGTAACTTTTTTATTTTAAGTTAAAACTAATCGTTCTTTGTATATTTGAGTTCTACACGAAATTCCAAAAAAATAGTCTAAACACAATGTGGATACTTAATATCTACGATCTAAAAGTCGGACAAAGCTGGTGACGATATAGAGTAATTATTGTACTACTTTCAGATCGTATATATTAAGTATCCACAACGTGTTTGAGCTCATAATTTTTGGAATTTCATGTAGAACTCTAATTTATAAAGAAAATGCTATTTTAACTTAAAACAAAAAAAGTTACAGATCTGTGGGACTGTGACAGTGGGTGAGTCACTGTTTGTCTCCGACCAGCCCGACGAGCGGGTCGAGAGGGTGAGTTGAGTTCCGAGAAGGTCCCTAATCCGCTGGGTATCATAGCCAAACGGACGGATTATAAGTTAGGATTTTTAATCCATCTCTATTGTTTAGATAGTTCTTAAGAATGTGTTTAGTTGTTGTAATATAGATACTTTGTTTTGTTTTTATAGTTTGATGCTATTTTGTACAAATTATAGAAACTAAGAAAAACCTAACTTTTAAAATATGAAAAGTTTTTAATAGTGATATAATCCACCAATAAGCTTTATGAAGAAGACTGGTAATAAGGAATACTCAACAAATAGTATGGTAATCAAGGTTTTATACCGTCTTTTATTACTTTAATTGCTTTAATGTGACATATTTTTACCATATCTTTTTAATCCTTGTTAACCTTTAGTTGTTGTTTATCAGAAATAACAGTTAATGTTTTCTCTCATTAAGAAGACCAATTTTTATTTTTTGGTGTAAAACAATTCACTGAATCAAGGACTATAAAATAGTTTTCTTGGTTAAATAAAAAATTCACTTATTTTAAAATTATTTCTTTTGGGCAATCCCAAGTGTAAAATGAAATTTTATGTTTTTAAAATATGAAAATAAGGAAGAATTTACATCCCATGAAATAAGATTACTCGCTAAATATGGGGTCAAAGAACACTATAGACATTAAAACTTTTTGTGATTTTTTTATAAATTGAGTTTCAATAACCTGAAAACACAATTTTGCAATAAAACAAGATTGTGAGTTCAATTGTTTGGGTTTGGATGTTTTGTTGGAAAAGGTACTTAACCTAACCTAACCTTGGACTTGAAAGATGAATAAAGATCATTCTTAATCCTGGCTTACACAGTTCAACAGAAATATTATAATTCCTGTATATCTAATATTATCTTGATGAATATTGTTGAATTTTAAGAAAAAATATAGAATCATATTTTTAGTAATAAGCCATATTGTTGAAGGCATAATATTTTTGTAATACAATACAATTATAGTTTAGTAAACAAATGTTCAATCAGAATAGTTGTGTTATTATTTATTCCAGAAAACTTAAACAAATGTTTAACTTATACTGAATTCACCAAATTTTGGGGGTTTGAGGGTATGCGATTCCATCCCCTCCACTTCACCCTGAATACGAAACAAGAGCCAACAGCTTATCAGCTGATATTAAGCTAAAAAAAATATTGTGGGAAATCAGAAAACCTTCCTCTTGAACCGTCAAAATTTTATGAACAGACTATAATAAGAACTTGTCTGCATGCATGATAGTAAATAGAATCATGGCTGCCCTATTGATGGATTTAAAAAGTCAGCTTAGGCAAATTAACAAAAGCTATACACCATCCTTATTTTTCACTCTAATTCAAGTATTTGTATTGCAAATTTACACTGAGATAGAGATAGTACTGGAGGTAGTACCATAGACAAAAAGAATTAAATATAGACCGCCAGTTGTGCTACGGTTACCATAGGTTCTGGAGCACACCGCTGGGAGCGCTGTCTATATTTAATTCTTTTTGTCTATGGTATTACTGAATAAGAGAACTGTGAGAAGTTGGCAGCCATTAGTACAAGTGGATCAAGTACATTCTGCTTAGTACATTGGAACTAGGAGATTGTGGGATTGTAATAAGGCCTTAAGCCGATCAATGGATTGATTCCTGTAGTTGGTACCAACATAACAAAATTATACATCTCAATTTTCTAGCAGAGTTGCCATGTCAGTGCTACCTCCAGTTGTATTTCTAGCTCGGTGGTTTTACACAGCTAAAACCTTTAGCATCTAGACAATTGACCAACACTTGCTAAACAATGCACTTTAGATGATTTAGCATATTGTTATAATTATATTGATTATATTTTTTTTATCAAACAACTTTTCCAATTTGTCTTATTTACAAATTCTTTGGTTAATGTTTTTGTCACTTACATACGGTTATCCATCTAAAAGATTAATTCATCGCTTGCAAGATGAAGTGGCGTAAGTAGGCCTACATATAAGCCTATTACTTGCGCCTCTTTGTCTTGCAACCAATGAATTAATCTTTATAGGTGGATAACCGTATGTAAGAGACAAAAACATTATTCAAACATAAAGCTTGCTTGTTAAGTTAATTTAAATATATGTTGCTTAAGACTTGATTGGATAGATATAGTGCTTGCTGGTAGTCAGTAGATTGTAAATTTATTCCTCAAACTTTTTGGTCTGTAAATGGATTCGGCTGTTCTTTTTTCCATGCATCTTAAATAAAATAGTCTTGGCCAAAGAAACAGCAAGTATCAAATAAAATTACGCAAGGCAACTCACTCCATCCACGCTCATCCTTTGCTTGTACTAGTATTAATATTAGCTCAGTTTTGTTTCCTTCTAGATTAATGATAACTCTTAAATGATTCCTACCATCTATGAAAAGCCACAGAGACAATTGCTGGGAATAGCTTATAGTGTAGCATCTACCATTATTCGTCTTTATCTCTGGTCTCTTGGCAGGCGAATAATTTTCTATTGGCTAAACAGGACTAATAGTGGGGATAGGCAGCTTGAAACAATCATAGTAGCAGTAAGTAGCAACTGGCTCCCAAATCATGCTGAGACTCGCCATGAAAAGGCAGTATATGTTAAAAGAATTATCTGTCTCCTGACTTACTCGGGAAAACTTTCACCTCAACTAAATTAATTCCAAAATTATTTTAAATTGGCAGGTACAAGTGGTATAAAGTAAGGAATCAACAATAGTTGGACTGTTAGGCTTTAAAAAACTAGATTCCCAGTTCCGCCATCATCAAATTCTTTTTCCAACAGTTGTTTCTTCCTTCACCTCCTCAGGAATGAGTTGGTTATCTCCTCCATCATGACATTTGGTTATCATGATGTTGGTTTCCCTTAATTCTGAACAAACATTTCTTACCCTTGTCCAAACTGAATTGCTTTTTCCATTTTCCGGAATATCTTTCAGCTATCACTCTTAAAAATGTTTGAATTCACTTTCGAAAATTCCATATACAGTTGTGATGACAAGTGAAGTAAACGAGGTTCAGAATATTTTAGATATTTTTTGTCATCCGCTTTTTTTATGACTTTATCAAGAGGGATGAAAATGTGTCATCAGTCTCAACATCACGAACATAAAAAATGCTTCTATCTGAATTTCCCATCCTCTGCTAGCTAAATCTACTTTAGGTGCAGGTTCATTTACACAACTTCCTTCACCTAATTCCCCAAGCTTGATTCATCTCATTTCCTCTATAGTCTCTAATTTTGTTCTTTCTTTGTATAGCGAGACCTCCACTAGGACATTTTAAAGCATGTTCTGCATTGAATTCTTGTCAGCATCCTTCACATTATAATGGGAGATTTTAAAACATTTTCCTACATCATAAAGCTATGGCGTCCCTATATTCTTGTAGTTTCAAGTCCAAATCAAGTTTCTTCAGACACACACATGAAAACCAACATCCATGACTTGCTATTAGTTCTTTTTGTTGCTTATTTGATATATCTATTGACCGGTATTGTTAAAACATTCCCAAGAGGTGGTTGAAAAAGTCTGACTGGTTTAAGCTCTGGCATAGAATCGCATGGCACTAACATAGAAACAATATCCTTACTATAGCAAGAACTCTATCAATTAGAGTTATTTTGACCAGAAAAATGTATAATCTAAAAGGAGGAGACTAACTCTGAACTAATTCAATCCTTTGCACAAAATGATTTATAATCAGTGGATTGATATACTAGAAAAGATTTTAAGTGACTTAAAATCCCTTCTAGTCTGTAGGCTAGGTTAGGTTAGGTTACCTCATTAAACTCCAGTTTAGGTTCCAGACTAACTCCAGTGAACTCCAGTTAGGTTACCTCATTTGAAAACAAAATCAGATCAGTATCTAATTTCCCCTTGAAAGGGACAAGCTATCCCCACAATAGAATCTCAAGTCTTAAGATCTAAAATAGTTTTAAATTATCCGGCTATAAAACATTACTGTATAGTTTTTTTTGTGTGTCCTTCTATGGTTAAATATTGATGGTGATGTGCAAAAAGTACTGCATTAATCAAGTCAATTGTTTGCATTTTAGTTGAGACGTTTTCTTGAGTTTAGCCATAAGTAAAATGAAAATTATCTATATACACAACAGGAATGGCAGTTAAACATAAAACATCAATATTAACCTAATAAACGAATTTGTTTGATTCAAAATTTACTCATGGATAGTGGTGTTTTGATTCATTCAAGGCATGAATGTACAAAAGAATACACGTATGTGTCTACTTGATGGATTATCCTTTAAGGTGGATTTTCCTAGTTACCATAATCCTGTGCTGAACACACTGCTGCGGTTTCCTAACCGCAAAACTCACTAAGGACTGTACCCTGCGGTGTTCTGCAGGACAAGCGTCTGTTCCAAGATCAGTCAATCCACAGCGACATAGACATACTCCTGGACTATTTTTGGCAGTTTATTATACAGTGATGAATTTTTACGTTTTTCAGTTGCTGCACTGTCATACATAAAATTTCAATGACTTCAATTGAGATTATTATTTTTGTAATTATTTTTTTAATTCAACATAAAACAAGAAAAATTTGTAGTTTAGTTTAAATGGGCCGCTCAAGGAATGGGGCTGATTTTAGGTTTGTTGGGGTGCATGGAAGAGAAAAATTCCCCAATGAGGGAAGGGGGGCGATTATCTCTTGGGCTCATAGGTAGTGCAAACCTCATATGCAAACTGCAGGCCTGCATTTCAGCAATGTGGAATCAATTTAAATTTTCTTTCTTTCAAATTTACTGAGTGTTGCTATTGGGACTGGTATCGCTAAAAGATGCTAGACTACTAAAAACTGACTAGTTATTCAGTATTGTACTCTAGTACCCGCATGTATTTTGGGAAGTGTTACTAATACTACCTGTCACTTTACATCCACAGAAGTTTGAGTGTAATAAACCATCTGCTAACATCTTTGTACTTATCAAAACACAAGCATCGGCTGAAGTCTCAATTGGAGAAAAGTCACTTTCTCTTCAACTATCCTAAATATACCAGGTCTTGATGAGAGAATCAAAAATATAATAAGACAAAATTTCAAAATAAACTTGCAGTTGTGAATTCTCTTGATTGGAAATACAAGTCCTGTATTGTGTGGTAGATCTAACAGCACTGATCAATGGCTGTGCTGACGACGCGGCCGGCGAGGTCGAAAATGAGCCACTCGGGCTGCAAACGCAGACACGATGGCTGTTCTCAACTATACAATATCTGGTACCCAGGCCATGGCTGCTAGCTGCTACGCGCTGTGGAAGTACACTGTTTAACATTTGGTTATATCAGAATGTGTGTGATAACATTCCTAGTATATAAACCAAATTTGTGTGACGTTTCAGGCAAATTGGTTGAGTACTGTAGTTTTGATGTGGTGAAAGGACAGAGCAAAAGAATTCCTTTTTAAATATCTATTAATGTTAGTGTCATTAAAAAAAAAAAAAAAAAAAAAAACAGAAAAACTACACCTAATTCTAGTAGGTAGTATTTATTTATGAAAACAATTCAAGGTATCTACCTAAGATGCAAGAAAAATATTCTTCAGAAAGAGGTACATGCTATTTCAACACATATGCACAAGACCACAAACTGTTGCAAAGTTTAGAGTAACTAATTAGTAAGTATAGCACAACACAAATAGTATCACATCAGCATCAACAATAAAATGCACCAGAATTAACCTAGAATGTCAATTTATAAATTTATGCTGGAACTTTATTTTGCCTTATTTTTTACCAGGATATCTCCTTGTAGGCTATTTTTAAAACAATTTTTTGTTGGCAATGATTGGCTTCAAATTAAACTATAGCCAATTTGTTACATTTGCTGATAAAAATCTAAGCAGCATCAATAATAATTAAGGTTTACAAGCTTCTTGGTTAGTTTGTTTGGATTTCTAGTAAAAAGAATTCAACTGATTTGCAAATTTAGATACCACTATTCATTGATGAGACAACGTGTCAATTTATATTCAGTGCTTATTATTTCATTTAAAATCCACAAAGAAATCTTAAGTTTTCTTAGTTGGTAAATTTCCTATGACAGGATATTTTTATATCTATTTAGTAATGAGATAGTAATATTGGTATTCAAAACAAACTAAGATAGGCCTATTTTATTCTCAAGTTTTGTTTGTAGGAAAGGGCAAGTCCAAAAACTTTCAGCCACAAAAAAGTACCGTAGAACTATTAAAATTATTCTCTTGCTTTCCCAAAAATTTAAATCTTCTGCCTCCAGAAAATTAAGGTCTAGAAGGAAGAGATATATCAGAGAAGCCAGTTTAAATTAAATTAAATCTAGTTAATCCAAATTTTATGTAAGATTTTTGCAATGAAGCCAAATAATCCAATGAAAATCATACTCAAAGCTTATTACGAAACTTGCTAAAATAATTTTCAGTAAACTTAATAACAGTACTTATATTAAAACTTTGATTAAGCTAAATCTTCTAATAAACTATTATTTTCAGTTAGTATTACTGGAATGGGTAAGAGTCCAAACTGGCACAAAACTCTACACTATACCAACATCGTTAGAATCTTTCACTGCCACTGACAGCATTTTGAACTAAGGAAGATGGAGGTTTCTTCAAGCCTGTCTTGACTTTTTGACCATTATAAGCCTGAAGAGAACTCAGGTATAAAGATTTGTGTTTCTTGTGCCAGTTTGGACTTTTTTTCATTCAGATAAGCCTGATATCCCCCCCCCCTCTATAAATCCTAAAAACCTAGGGTCTTGTACTCTATGACATCCTTAACTTCCAATTAACTACTCGTATTCCTAAGGCAAAACAAGTTACTCAAGCCCACTGTTTTTGACAGGTTGGCCCGAAGTTGCTGGAAGCTTCCCGTGCGCTCAGTGTCAGAGGGTGTACCAGTACAAGCGCTCGTTGTGGCGACACGTCCGATACGAGTGCAACAAGGAGCCGATGTTCACCTGTCCTTTCTGTCCACAGCGGTTCACATTGAACAGCAATCGGTTGAAACACGTTAAGCGCAGACATCACGAGCTAGCCACCGACGCTGTTATGGCGGCTTGTAACATGTCTAGTCAATAAAGTTACCTAGTCAACAACTGTTTTAGAAACCCATGTTTCTCCTTGTACTTAGAGTGGCAGATTCCAGCACAGAATAAAAACCTAATCCAGAACTCTTATTAAATTGGACTCGTCCAATGTGTCTTGTGTTTAAAAACACAAGACAGGTTGGAAAAATCAAATTTAATAATAGTAACATTTCAGAACCAACGACATAATGCATTTTAAAATTTCTGCAGAACACTTACTGAGCCAAAATTGTTGCATTTGAATCTGCTAGTCTGAGAGCTGCTGTCACTACTGATTTTTTTAAAGTATACATTTTACTTGTATATTTGATCAGCTGATAACAACAATGCAGTGATGTCAGTTTTCTCTCTTACCACAGTGAGTCAGGTCTAGCCCTCTAGTCAGGATCAGCAGCACTCCTAGATTCTGTTGTGGAAACTAGCAGATAAAACGTAACTTTTTTGGCTCAGAGAAGTTCTGGGATAGGTCTTCAATCTGTGATTCCATGCAATAACAGTCTCACAAACTCGGAGTACAATAAGTCTACTAAGTTTGAGAAATCCGGTTATTGGGAAGAAGGACCAAAAATTAAAATTAGGATGTAGGGTAGTATAGTTTTATCATGGGAAGATACATTTATAACATCGTAAAATTGAGTATATATATTTCAAATAAGAAAATGTATGACTTTTTTTGTTTATACGGTACTGATTGGCAAGGCTAGACTACTAGAGCATTGATCGTCTGGTATGGATGTCTCACAAGTTTTATCCTAATGTCTGCTATTCCATTGAAGCAATGTAAACCAAGCTATCGTGTGTATAATAGACAGTAAGTGAACTGTGAGCGCCCGATGCTAGAGTTTCTGAAACAACTTTTTTGTTAACTATTCAACAAATTGCAGATGAACAAGTTTAGGGTGGGTATATTCAACTGCAATACATTGTCTGCACTTGCCAGCTTGTTGTCAGCTGTAAGTTTTAACAAGAGACTTTAACTGATTTTAACTTTTCCATTTGACAAAAGCGTCAAAGCTATGAACTTTTAAAAAAAAACATGTGGTATGCATCTTCCTGACCTATTCAGGAATATGCATACCACATGTTTCTTAAAAAGTTCCAAGGTCACTAATTGTAGATTGTCTTCTGGGATCGACTGTGTCAAAAATGACACTGTACAGAGTGCCATCTTAAATAATTGATATTGATTGATAATTGACATCTTCAAGTCAAGTCACTTGCTACGACAATTTTGTGGAATTCAAGTCGCTCTGAAGATGGCATACTATATTTACGTCTGTGAACAGTAGTAACAGTAGCAACTCTTCTGACTGAAGAGACCTTAGACTGCTTGGCCATTGATTAGACTTCACAGTCAACTTCATCAACAGCCCAACCCTAGTAGTTCTAGCTTGTCCTCCGGTAGAACTCATGTCAAGGAAAACTTTCCGCTGATTTGGTGAGTAACAATACTATTCTCATACTTAATCTTATTGTTTAAAATCAGTTTACCAACTGTTTAAATGTCTTTAAAATTACACAATCATCATGTTGAAAACTAAGCTATATTAATTTGATTGGAGGGTAAACATTTTTTTTACTTAATGCTTATATCTAAGTTATTCCTGTGTGGGATTGTTATGCATAGGAAACTAATGAGCTAATTTAGCAGCTAATCATATCCTATTTTATTTGTTTCGTTTATGTTTTTCTGTTTTATGTTTTTACTCCAGGTTGGTAGTAGATTAAACTGTACTTGTCTAATTTAGTTTTATCAATTGAACATATTTAACAGTGGCAACAAGGATGATGGAAGAAGATAACAGAATTTCAACTGAACTTTCAAAACTAAAATAAATTGATAAAAAGAATCCAAATTCAAACTTTAAAATACAATGCTACGTACTTGAACACAAAAAAAAGTTGGAAAATAGTTTAGTTAGACATTATTCAAGACAAAAATGAATTAAGTCCTTCTTACTTTCAACCTTACACCCTATAGATGATGTGAAAAAATTTATATATCCTCATATTATTCATGTCTAACCCCAAATGTGTTTCTAGGTTTAAATTTTGTTTGCTGGAACTGTGGTAGGCGCTACGCACACAAAGGTACTCTGATGCGCCACGTGAAGAACGAATGCGGTGTGGAACCAAGATTCAAATGTTCTCTTTGTTCCCTTCGTGCCAAGCAGCGAGGAATCGTTCTCCGACACATGAGAAACAAGCATCCTAATTTGTGGCGGAACGAAGTTATTGCGGGAAGAGTTTAACTAGTTTTCCTTTAGAAAGAGACATCACAATTAATCTCTAAACTCACCTTGATAATTTCATGTTGGAAACTATTTACGGCTTTGTTGTTTCAGATATAAATGTTTACTGACTGTGATAAAGAAACTATTAACTAAACATTTCTTTCCTTTAACATAATAAATAAGTAGAATATAAAAAAATTTCCTTTATGAAATAAAAGTTATTAATCACCTAAAAAATATATTTCCATCCTATTCTTTGTTTCCTCGAAAATCGATTATATGTTATTTAGGCTATAATTCAGAAAACCATTGATCAAGATATCTAAACGTCAAATTATTACATATGACCTGTGGCATTGACTTTGGATGTAATTAGACTTCTCATCTAATTGAAAATTTAAAGCTTTTTGTTTCAGCTTGTTGTTGTTGATGTTTGTTTCAAGTCAAGTTTCAAATGTCCTTATGTTGACTATTTTTTCTTTTTTAATGTAAAGTTTACAGTCTGTTCCTACTCTACTCACAAAACCACAAAACATTTCAAATAGCTAGATCTTCAATTCGCTTAATTTTTTTTTTATTTGGTTAAGTGGGAAGAAATAATTTAGTAAACACCAATAAACAATCTACATAATACATAAACAGCCTACACTTAAATAGTATATTTCATCACTAGGGCGCTAAGTGACTCGACTTTTCAACGGAACTCAATTTTGCATAAAATTTTATATATATATAATATTATAATATACAGTACCGGTAATAATAATTATCAAATATTTTAGCGAGTTAAAAATTTTTTTAGAGTACATGTACCAAAACCATAATTTTATTCCCACACTACTGGTTTAATACGTTTCTCCCAAACTTGAAAGCAGTCTGATCCACTCTCTGACATTCTAGTGAAACACCGTCGCAGCCTCGTGCTCCAAGAAGCTTTGGTGGACGGTCAGTACAACTGTCCCAGCTGCGGAAGGACTTACCGCAACCGCTCGTCCTACCAACGCCACTACATCCACGAGTGTGGTCAGTCAAAGGCCAACAGCTGTTTGCTGTGCTTCAAATCATTCACACGAAGGCACACAGCTCTAACACATCTGGGACTGGTACACGGATCTACCGACGGAAGCCTTATAGTTTGCAGCAAGCCCGACAACGGAAAAAATTAGTCATTACCGGTATTTTCTAATTTGATTTGTTTTAAATAGTTTTTAAATAAAAAATAGTTTGGTATTTATAAAATAAATTGATGTTTCTTTATTGCATTTTTTCACTAGTGAGCGAAAGTGAGTGGTTCACTAGAGATTTTTTAAGGTTAACATAGTTGAGATATAGAGGAATAAAACATTTTTGCTCGATGTGTGAAAGCATTTTTATAATGAGTAGGGGCTTTAAATCCGTTCACAAAATTTAGGCGGTTTAAATTTGGTACAAGCTTGTAAACTTAGGTCTCTTCCAACAAGTTTGTGAATCAGTGTGATATGCTATAGGAACTTTTTATCCATAAACCTTAAAATTTCACAATGGTTCTCTAAACCATTTTGTATAACTTAACGAATAATTTAGCATACCGAAGCTTTGCTGTACGCTTTATGTTTATGGAGAAAATTCCAAAAAATTTTAAATAAAAAATATTTTATTTAATTTTGATAGGAATAAGTCAACTGTAGTTTGATTTTTCATTCCATATACTTTTACCAAATTTGGCAAATTATTTTATCGTATACTTATTCATTAAAATTTTACTAAAAACACACTTTTACCTTCCCTGCAGCAGCACACCTAAGAACTCATTAATAAATTTCATATTTTTTCTTTAAATTGGAAATAAGTCTGACAATTTTAAGGAAAGATTTTAGTGAAAATCTTATCAGGCAAATGGAAATTCCTGTAGTGTGCAGGTTTGTTGCATTGGATGTATTTTGAGATCATGATGCTACTAAAGTGTATTTTAACCTTAATAAATTACTGATGACTGTAGGTAAAACAAGATGGACTTTATCGTTTTGTTAATCACCAAAACCAGCTAATCCTTTACAAGAGTCATAATAATTAAAAGACTATTATTAAAACAGCTGTACCGTACATTATTTCAAATTACCGAAAAGTTAAATACTTTCCTCACAGCTTAAACAAGACCTTTGGATCAGTCTGCGAGCTCTAAGCTCATACCCAGCAGTTAACATTTTATATTTTTTAAGTTAATCAGCTGATTTAACCCACAGGGATTGCAGACTACACTGGAGTCTTCGCCTGCACCAACTGTCCTCGGAAATATCGTTACCCTGAGAATCTCACTCGACATTTGAAGTACGAGTGTAACGTAGAACCACGCTTTCCCTGTCCACATTGTTCCTATCGGACCAAACATCGTAACAGTCTTAGGCTTCACTTGAGGAGAAAACATTTATTTTGAGTTATTGTGGTTAAATTTGTTGCTTTCTCTTTTACCAGTAAATCTTTGTTTAAACACGCTATCTAAGTTTTCAACAACTTGCAAATTGACGTTCAAAGTTTATTTGATTTGCAACAGCCTATATTGTCGTTCTTTAGATATTTTATTGTATTCTTTTAGCTCTTTTTCACCAAAAATAACTTAGTTTGTGATTTTTCAACATTTTGTATGTTGTTACTCTTAAATTTGATTAAAGTTTATTTATTTACATTAATTTTTGAGCACCTCATTTATTTTGTAATGTTTTGAAATTATTAATATTAATAATCAATGTTGTCTGTGATATTTTATGTACAAACGTGATTTGAATAAATATAAAGGTGTTTTCCAACAAGTTTACTTTTAATACTTTCCTTTTGTTCCCCTTCTTTCTCTTTGTATGTGCTAAGAAATTGCTTTTTTCTCAATGGTGTCTATACAAATGTATAGAACTCTATATGTATGTATAGTTCTATATTTTATGTAAAATTATAGTTTCAATTGGCGTTGAGGATAAGTGTTCAAATTTGATTGAATAAAGATGATTTTAAACTGCTTTAGAGACTATTGATGCATTAGATTTCTATTGAAGTATACATATCAATTGCTTAGAATACAGAGTTCTAGTTACCTAAATAAATCATTCATAAAATCGTGTACATCCATTTACTTCATTTCCATTCATGTAAATATCATCGATAGTTTTTATCCTCAAATGTAAAATATTTTAGTGTTATACTGGAAGCGATGAAAACGTAAATAGTGTTGATAGTTTTATTCCAAAACATACATTGTACATTTTCCACCAAACCGTTTTACCAGCTATAAATTTAATTTTATTGTAAATAAGTAACGTTTCATCCTCAAAGTTAAAAAGGCTATTTAACACCACTTCAACATTACATAACACTCTCGCTGTTTTCAGGAACCAATGGGATTGGGAAGTCAGGTTTAATCCTGGATCGTCCACTGTTCGGATGCGATACATGTTCACGAATGTACCTCAACCGTGAAACACTTCACAGGCACAAACGATACGAATGTGGAAAGGAGCCGCAGTTTTTCTGTCCCCTCTGCTCATTTCGCTCAAAGCGGAAATGTAACTTACAAAATCACATTTTGCGAAAACATTACAAATAGTTGCATTACTTCATTGGTACCTGGTAAAACTAAAAGCTTTGAGGTATAAAATTATTTATTTTTATTATTTATTCATGTAACCCAAAACTATCTAGTTTTCGCTAAATTAAAGGAATATTATTTTTTATAACGCTAAAATAAGATTGAGTCAGTAATGTTATCAGGAAAGTAGAATGTAAATAAAATTACCTTGAAGTATTCTGAATTATATTTACTCTAATACATCTAAGTACTCAGTTAGTTACTCTCTGTATTTTAGTACTTAAGTTACTCAAAATGTGATATGTATATAACTATAGCCTTAGTTGTACAAATCAATTGACAAAGTGTGAAAAAAGGTTTTATCTAACAATTTTTTTAAGCAAGAAGCAATCCTTTTTAAGAAACAAAATAGATTTTGGCAGTAGGTTCCTTAATATTTATTCTATTTTCTCACTATATTATACTTATCTATGCATTAGTTACAATGTTCATCAAGCTTTTTGAGTTCTCTTCCTGAAATATAACACGTGTTTTCAAACATGCTCAATAGGGCCTCAGAACTTTGCTTAGAATGCCTGAAGCACTAAATGTTGTTTTAGGAAACCTAGAGAAATTGTTACAATAGGTCAAAGTATACTAAATAAGTTAATATGTCTAAAAATGTGTTAATCTCTACATTTTTTTATATTTCTATTAAATATTGTATGAATTAATTATTTATGAAACCCCTAGATGATAATAAATTTAATAGTACAAAAATAGGTACTATGCACTATGGTAAATAGGTAATAGAGTGAATTGTATGGAAAGTTTCTACTTTTTTCTAAAACTTGCCTGCGTCATTTTGGAAAGCATTGTTCAAAAAGTGTGATTTTATACTTGTCGTAGCAATAAACTATTTTTTTTATTCTCGAGTGTGGCAGATTGCGTGAAAATATAATAATATATTTGGTTCTTACTGTCTACACAATCAGGGTCGATACTGCACTACGGCCGTTTCGGAGATAACTCCATTGTTAGGTGCGTAGTGGCACACTAAACTATGGTCTTGTTACACTTAATACGAAAAGTCTTCATTTGCATTGCGTAAGGGGTTGAATAAATCTTAAACATAAATATTAAACATGGTGCAGTCCCTGATTGCGTAGACGGTAAGAACCAAATTTATTATTAAACATTTTTTTTTACTTATGCTCTATTTTACAAATTTAACTGTTAAGAAATATTTAGTTAAATTATTTGTTTTTAATGTAACAGCATATTAGTACAGTCAAACTTGTTTTTGAGCTTGAAATTTCAAAAAGAATTGTGTGAAAATGTACAAAAGTTTTACAAATACTGTATCTGTTAAAATTAATATAAAATTTAACACATAATTTTTTAGACAGAATAAAATAAAATAAAATAACATTTCTCGCAATAAAACTATTGACATTTTCATCACATCATCAACAACTTTCTAGGTATAATGAAAGTAGGCCTAAGACTTTTTTACAAGAATTGAGAGGTTAGCGAAGTGAACAATTTTCATTGTTCAGACAACTTTTTACCCTTCATGGTTTGGTAATTTTATGTCAAATCTTTATTGTATATATCTCTTGAGTGATTTTGTGATTTTTTTCAGTGATATTTCTTTTTTTTACTCATTTTCAATAATTGTGTATAGAATTAGATGTTTATTTTCTTATATATTTCAGCTTGAAGACTGACTTTTTGATATTATTAGATAGTATTTATAAAAATTTGAGCTTTCCTTTTGTTATTATAATTATTAATTAAGATTGATTTATTGTAAAAATGGTGATATTGACTTAATATTCTTGTCTGGTTGAAAACCAAATAATCTTCGTAGTTTTATATTTTTATGTGAAATAAACTCATATATTTTCATATAATAAAGTGTCTTATTTAAACGTATTCATATTACCTATTGAAATGGAGAAGAATATTGGCGTATTAGCCCCCAAATATGAGTAATGGAGTATTAAATGGAGTCAGATTATCTAGCATATTAGTATAGCTTTATAAAGCGGTGTTTACACTGTCGTGGGGCCACGGCTTAAGTCAGGCGTGTAGGTGAGAAATTTTCTCACTTTCTTAAGAAGCGTCACCACACCTCCTGTAAACAGTGGAGACGTGAGAGCAACAGACGTGGCAACCCAATACGCCTGTTCCCCACGCCTTTAGGAGCTAACCAAACCGTGGTTGGTTGCTACGCCTGTTGCAGGCGTGGCTAGACGTGGTAAGGAGTCTTCAATCTCTTCGTTGTGTATACTACGAGTTTTAATTACTATTGTTCTTTAAAGTCAGTGTTTGTGGTCTTAGTTTGTACCATGGAAAAAACAAAAATATTTATAACATTTGCATGAGTCGACTCAATTGAATCGGTGAAAACAAAGCAATATTTCAAATTAACAATAGGTCAAACAATTTGAATGCTTGAACTGTATCAACGTGAACCTTGTTTATTTGATACAAATATTGAAAGCTACAGCTTGGTTTCTTTCTTCTCATAACACTTAAATGCCGTGTTTTTTCTTCAGCTAAAATAACACTTTTTGTAGCACAACCTTCAATAATTAGTCTGTTGGCACAATCCATAACCCACCCGTAAATAAAAAAGAACACGCCTTTAATGAATACGCTTCTACTTTACAGCTGGTAGTTAGTATGAAAGCTACAGGTCATCTCATTGCATCTACACTTACCCTGTACCTTGGTGTGTGTTGCTGTTTATTTGGTTGATTATTTGGTTTGAGTATGTAGAGTACCTAAAAGTACACTCCCTTAGAATTCCACTATAAAAGTTTTTCTTTGCAGAAGATATTTTGACTCTAGTTTGTACAACCCCATCCAAATTAAAAATCTAGATGGTTTGTATTTATTTTAGAAAAAGAAAGAAGACGGTGGCACTAGGCAGATAAATCATCGCCCAACAAAATTTTGTTTCTATTATCTTAGGGTTAATTTCTTGATTTGTGCTTTACTGTTTGGTTATATAATTAGGGGACAAGTTATTGTTTATGATTAGATCGTATTATTTAGTTAAACGAGGTAATAAATGACTGTAATAACAAGAAAAAAATTGTAAACAAAACACGACCTCTACATAAACCGTACAGAACTAACAATAAAATTGTCTTCAGCTGTTCCATAAGGATGAGATATAAGGGAGTATGTTTTATATATGGTTTTACTTAGAAAGATGTTTATTAAGTTGTTCTTTTGTAGCATATAGGTAAGTCCCAATAGAGCCCTAATTAACACTCAGAAATAAATTAGTACAACCCTTTCTTAAAGTTCTATTTGTAGGCAAAACACTATTGAAAAAATGTATAAAATATAACTTTTCTCAGGGATTTAATTTACAGGCAAATCGTGATGCTTTAGATGTGATAAAACATAGTAGGCTTGTTTTAGATAATAAGACAAGAAATGAATTTCTTATCAATGCTCTCATTGGCCAGAATTCTGAAACTGAACACTTCTGTATTCAAATCAGCTGTTATTTTGTAAGATATGCCGGTAACCAAATTTGTAATTGTTTAGGCCTATATTTAGATTTTTGAGACATTAAATTCCTTTCTTTTATGTGTTCGCTAACCACGTATGGTAGGCCTATTAGGCTAACCCTATTAAAATCCACACCACCACAAACTTAGCTCAATGCTACATGGACACACCTGGCTACCGATATGTTTATACTAAGCGTGTTCTAACATGTTCCTGTAGGTTTCCAGAGTCGAGCGTATTCGTGTGACCGATGTCCTCGAACCTATCTCAACCAGGAGAGTCTCATTAGGCATAAAAAACTTGAGTGCGGACAAATTCCCAAGTTTCCCTGTGGCTTTTGTCCTTATCGAGCAACGCAGAGAACCAACCTATTACGCCACATCAAGAACAAACATGCTGATTGTTGCTATATTGTTGATCATGTGTCTACAGTAGAACATCCAGTAAAATTTTGATATTAATTAAACTGTTGACTTTTAAATATGGAAGTAGACATACCATCAATAAGGAAAAAATGTTGCCAATTTTGTATTCAAAATATTTGAATGAATTATTCACAGACTGTGCTCCAGTAATTATTTTTATTTACTTGTTTTTATGTTACTGGAATAGTTAATGGACCATTACATCAGTTTGTATATTTTGATAATTTTTAATAAAAGTTATTATGATAAATAGAACATATTTATTTCCCTACAACCTTAGATAATGATAATATTATACTTTTAATGTTAGCAATCTATTATATTATTAAAGTGATACAATCAAATTTATGTAAACGGTTAAGGCCATTTACCAAATAAAAATATAGGCATATGGCACATCAAAATGAAGCTTAGAGTATGTAGATTTGCCGTAAAGTATTGATATGGATGAATTTCCTAAAGGCTCTGCCCCACAGGCTGATTTCCAAAGGGCTACGCCTGGCATGCTTCTAAAGTTTAGATGATTTAATCTAATTTAGTTAATGAAACAGCTGGTCAGTACAATGAACTGGTGTTTGTTTATTTACTCGAAAAAGATTTTTGTGGCGCTTTATGTTTGGTTTTAGAGAAAGGTTGTATACGTTTTGTTAAGTATTGCTCAAAGTTTCATTTTGTAATTTATATAGTAAGCTACGTATGAAGAGGCTTGACTGAAATTGAAGAATTATGGTAAAACATGTCATTCATGAAGCATCAATATGAAACAATTGATGCTATTGCTACACTAAGGTATGTTGTCACATTCTTTTGGATCCAATAACATTAAAAGTAGGGGTTTGAAAGTAAGTAGGTTTACACTTTTAAATCAGTTTATATTTTCATACTAAATCATAGAGTGTATGTATTTTAAAAAACACATCAGCACCACTTTAATAGCTCTCTGGGTCACATTTTCTTTCCGTTGCAACACACGGGTATAGCAGCTTGTAATGAGTTGATTTGAGACATTTTATTCTACTCTCAATCATAAATAAAATAATATAAACAGCAGTAAAAGTATAAAGATATATTTCAGGGAGTCTGGATGTATAAAATTTCATCAAGGACTGGCCAAAGAAATTACTCTAGCTCTCAATTTACTATAGTTCACTGATAAAAAGTTAATTAACGAATACTGTCTATAGATAAGCATCAATTAATTAGTAAACAATAATTCGTAGTACCTACAGTATAAAGCTTTAAAACTCCAAAGTACTAATATCTACGTATTGACCATAATAGTAAAATGTGATTACTACAAAACACTACTCCTCCATTAACAATGGATGGATTTTTACTAAAGATGTTTTAAGATAAAGTGTTTTTATGTAGACTCCCCTTTTCACCAATTCATGTGATAAAAGTCCTTGGGCTTTGCCCCTCAGGCCTTCAAAGTTAAAGTGTATTCCTTATGGAGAAAAGCTTTTGAAAATGTGGTATACCTTACCAACTGCAAGTAATGTTACTGCAGTACAGTATTCAAATCCGATAATGGTTGTCCCGAAGATCCTCCAGAGTTTGTTATATACCCAAAAATACCAAAAAATATACCAAAAAATAGGGGAGTTCAAGAGAATTTAGCAGTACGTTACTCTGATCTTTGCCCTATGCTGTATGCTTTACTGTTTCCCTTTGGGAATTAAGGGTGGTTTGTAAGTATACATTAAGTTACAGTTTGATTGAATAGTGTTACTAGTTAATTACATTATATGAAAGTATTTTTTTTAGGAAGTTGAGAACTATTGTTGTATCTGCATACAAACTATTAAATCATTTCAACCTGTTTAATCTAATCATTAAATTTAGCTGAAAAAAAAAACAATAATACTTGTAATACAAAAACTGTATAAGAACCGTACCTCCTTTTTCTTTACTCTTTCCATTTCCTTGAGGTAAGCCAAACATTTCTGGTTTGAGACTGGTGAGAAGCTCTATTTAATGACTGCAGTCAGTTCTATAACTGAGTAACTAGGTGGTTACAGCTCTTGCCTTCAAATCAGAAGGTTACCAGTTCAATCCTGAGAAGAGTCAGAAGATTTTTGATCGGCCAAAACTGATACCCAGATGTCCATGTTCATTGGGCTTCTAATAAATGTTCCTGGTTAAGATATAACTTTATTATACTCAGTTCACCAAATTTAGGCGGTTGTAGGGGGAGCAAATCCATCCCCTTCACCTAACCCTACATTTGAAACAACAGCTAGACAGCTGTTAATAAGCTTAAAGTGGCAATCAGCTGTATCATAGTTTAGGAAAACCAGTGGTGGGGGAACGCAAAATAACTGCCCCTCAAATCGCATAAAAATTGTGAACGACTATTGCAACGTTACACATATCGTCTCATTCCGTTCTACACTCACCCTGCATTCACATTTAACATGTATTTAAGAGTGAGCATTGCTATCCTATATTGACTGAACCTGCTTGCCGATAGCCCATGTGACTTATCATACCTTTGACTAGACTTTTAGAACTTTAGAAGTAGACTATGGATCATTATGGACCAGCTGTAGGTAGCCAATTTGTTATTCAAAGAGATCACAGTGAAATGAGAAATTCACAGAGTTTGCAACGGTTTGAAGTTATTTTTTTCTTCCTTCGTTTTTGTAACTGTATTATACAAGATGCTATAATAGTTGTTCAATAAGTTTGGTTTGGCTTAAAAGAGTTTGTATACCTGACAAATCGGCAATTTATATCAGCGCTCTGTTCTGTTGGTGGAAAAATTTCACTTCATCAATTTTCATTCTAAAACTGCCATACATTGGGTGCTGCTGTCATAGTTTGATTTTCATCTTCGTTTTTGGTACCATAATATTTCATTTGGCATAAAGGATATATTTTTCAAGAATTGTGTCAGTCTTCATTTCAAAACTGGCTTTAGTTTAGTTTCAGTATCAAAACAAGATGTCTACATTCAAGATAGTCAAAGGTTTCATCAACTGCTACTTAAAAAAAATGTCATTATAATATTGCTGGCCCGTGGTTTGCATGTGATGCGATATGGGCTAAAGTGAAAATTGCACCCCTCTCTACCTACCTTATGGGGGAATCGTTCTCTTCCTTGGGCCCCCAACAAACCTAAAACCTCTTGGCCCCCTGGGAAGCGACATTATTGTAATTAAATTTAGTTTAGGCCTATGTGTAAACTATCTGGGTATTATTGCAATCTAATTACGATATCTCACAAAACCAATGGTTGATTCCCGCAGGCCCTGTGAAGCCGTACCCGTGCCCGCAGTGTGATCGCTCCTATCGCCACTTTGAGAACCTGCAGCGTCACCTGCGCTTGGAATGTGGCAAGGAGCCGAAGTTTGCCTGCACCGCCTGTCCGTACCGCAGCAAACATCGGCAGAATCTACTTCGCCACTTTGTCATAAAACACGGCTACGAATCACAAGCTGCACCAAACAAGACCAATCCTCGCCCTTTTTAACAACATTGAGAGAAATGTTAATTGTGTATATTAAAATTGTATATTTTCTATTTACTGGTTTTAATTTTGAACCATTGTTAATGTTAGGGTAACTAAATGGGTATAGTGCTCCCCTTGAAATATGATGGGTGTTTGATGGGTTGTTAACGGTTGTTGCAACGCATTCTGTCATTTATCATTAATGCCAACAAATATCAACGTTAAGTAGGGTTGAAGCGGTTTCTTTACAAAAATCCTTTTGTATAATGTAATAACCTCATCCCAAAAAAATTCTTTTGAATTACGGTATTGAATAAATTACTTTAACTTATTCATGTTATTTGTTCGCTCTTTATCAATACAGTGATAATGATTAAGTTTACTACAAGAGCTAATCGATTGGTTTTCTCAACATGTAATTCAACATCAATCAATTTAAGGATTTTCTGAGTCACCTAATACAATCTACATGCCAGTTTTATACTTTTAGCCCACCCTAGCTCCTCCGTGTACAAGTTTGCCATTGTGAAAACCTCATAAGAACCTACAACTCTTTTTGACACAAGCTTTTGACACAAGATTACTGTCCATATAAATTATTTTATTTTAAAAGTTTTCTTGTATGAATATTTTTTCAAGATGAATGATTCACATACTTTACATTTACTCACGAAACAGTATTTCTGGCAAAGATTAGAATATACAGGGTGCGGCAAAAAAACCGATCCATTTTCTGCAGCACACTGTTCAGCGACAGGTTGTCTGAGGGTGGTGGGAGTAGGCTCGTTGGAAAGCCTATACAATGCCATTTTTTGTAGTCATAGAGCAGTGGTTGTATGAGCTACGTGCGGTTGTTATCGAGTCGTTAAAAAAAATTACGATTTAGTCATCACAACTTTGGGCAGTCCGTTCTTTTACTCAATTAGGCCGACATAGAGAGGTTCTGTTGTGATTATCTGTATGGATGATTACAAAATTATACAGATTATTATTCTAATCCATAGGGATGAAAATTTATCTCAAGATTCGTATATCAGTGCGGTTAGACATGTTCAAGGCAGCCGAATGTTTTCGGGCTGGCCTACGGGGACTGTTTTCCACAGCAGCACGAACTCTATTCAATGTTTGTTGTCTGGCATCCGATCTAACTTCGGAAGGCCTGTCAGCTTCCTTTTCAACGTAGAAGCCGTTGTCCTAAAGTAAGTAACCCACCGCATTATTGTGCTACGCAACGGAACTTCTCCAACTCGCCTTAATTGAAAGAATGCATGAAACTGCCGCTGAGTAGCAATGCATGAAGTCACTATTTTATAAAAACGACTCCATAACAACCGCACTAGCTCAGGCGACCACTGTTCTATGACTTCAAAAGATGGCATTGTGTAGGCTATCCAACGAGCCTACTCCCACCACTCTCCGACAACCTGTTGCTGAACAGTGCTCTGCAGAAAATAGATTGGGTTTTTTGCCGCACCCTGTATATTTTTTATGTAATCAGTCTAGCACATACATCTATACAAAACATCCCCAAAATAATTATTTCTATCTTGTTACTAATCTGGTAGGGTACGCCACCTATATGTGAGTTTTAACCCAATATGAGTGTAGAACGGAGTGAGATGCCCTGTATAGCTTTGTTATTGACTAAGACCAGCTGTTCCATTAGCCAGGACCATTTATTAAAAGCAACAATCAAGGACAGCTGGGTCCAGCTTCAATTTTTTTATTCTTGATTAAAAAAAAAAATCACTTTGAAATCTTACTGTTTACAATATTCTATGTCCACATGTCACTTCGCTTAGCTCACATTTCCCCTGTTCTAGGATACATCTCAGTTACTCATCCGCAAAAGACATACTCGTGTGAGAAGTGCGGACGTTCGTACCGTCACCAAGAGAATCTTTGTCGGCACCGCAGGTTTGAGTGCGGCAAACCTCCATCGTTCTGTTGTCCATTCTGTCCATATCGCGGACGACAGAAGGTCCACGTGGACAACCACATCCGCAGACTCCATCCGCAGGAACAGGTGGCTGTCCATGGCAACAATCACATGTCCACAACAAATAAAGTTCCTGAGTGGAATGTATTGTAGTGATGAATTGCTTGTTTCGGAACATAAAAATTATTTTGTATTAAACCTTTTTACTCAAATGTGTTTTATAATTTAAACTATATACCTTCATGAACATGAATTAGTTTGTAAATACTTGATGATAAGTTTGGAAACTTATGATATGCTCTTGATGAAAAACGTGCACTTTCCTTTGTGTGTTATATAGACAAGGTTTTTTTTCAAATTAGGCCTACAATCAAATTACAAGTGCAGAGAGTCACTGAAAGGCAAAATAAGCCATAAATTGTTTACCCTTCTTCCTCTACTTAATTATCTTTCACATGATGTATACATTGATGCATTGTTGTTAACAAGGTTTATTGTTATGGGAAATTAATTGTGATGTGGAAAGCGAAAAGGGACCTCTTGTCGGCGATGCAAAATTTTCATTACGGCCGATATAAGTTGAAATTCGAGCTTTTATCGATTGTTATACCTCATTTATCATAGAACAGGACAGTATCGGTTAAAATATCGAATTGAAGACGTAAAAGGTCGAAATAAATCATTTTGTTAGCCTCTGCACAGTCTGAGAAAAGGTACCTCTTGTCGCTCAATGTTATTTCGCCATAACGGCAAGAGGTCCCATTTCTAATATTCACTTTATAAACAGACTTTAGTCCAAAAAATGAATTGTCCTGCATTCTAGATGAAATTTAGAGAACTACAACAAATCTCAGTGTACCTAGGACAAAATATCTCACAAATTTTGCGGTCCCGACAAGAGGTACCTTTTCTTATCTTATAGAGAAATAACATAGGGCAGACCAGAGGCTCTTTTCTGAAATGTGATTTTTACGACATGCTTAAATAAAATAATTATTTAAATTAAAACTACCGGGAGTTTTGAAAATATTGGTCTTGCCTCCAAAGAGGACATTATAAGCTTTAGTTTGATACCAAAATTGTTTCTTAAATACAAAAAACAACTGTTTTTAAATGTATATGACATTTTCAAAATGGTTTTTCTCAAAATGAACCTTTTCCATAACAAAGTTTCAAAGTTCTATAACTTTAAAAAAGTCGTAGATACATGGGACTTGCACCGAATGATTCTGAATGTAATAAGGAATTCAAATTTATTTATAACTCAAAATCGAAAATTCCCGACAAGAGGTCCCTATTCGCTTTCCACATTACAATTGTAAATAAGATTCAACTTTTTTTTCTTAAAAGCAACCAATGTTTAAGATTGATAATGCACATATGAGAAAGAAGGTTCTGTATGATTGGGTTTTGTATTTTTTTTTTTTTTTAGTTATTAGGTAGTGGTATCTCAGCTAAGATCTCAAAATTAATGCTGATTACTGCAAACATATTTTGGCACAAAACAAATGATTTACTTTCAATATATTCTTCTACTCCTATTCTTTGAGCTTGCAGATCTTATGTTGATTCCTGTTCACAATAAATTCCCAATAACACCAAACTGGGTAGATAACAATGCTAAAATGCATATCAGCTGATCGGGAATGAAGTGAAGGAATAAAGCAGGGCTGCCAAATTTGTGTTATTTTTTTACTGGTTACAGATTTAACATGGTAATATAATGTGTAATTCCATCAATATTCAATGGTTTGAATTTAAAATAACAATTAATACAAAGTTAAACAAAATTACAAATAAAATATTTTGAATGTAAATAAAAAAACAACCGATTAAAATTCTCATACCAAGATAGAGATATCGAAAGCAGAACATCTATCATTAATTTTGCATCATTGTAATTGCAAATATGACTGTGAATATGGAATGATTTTATGTCATCACAATCCATCAAGCTAAGACATAAATTGCACTTGAAGATGAAAGAGAATTTTCTACTCCTTAAAAAGCAAGTTCTTTGTTAAAACTAAAGCAAATGAGCAAGAATAAGGTAGGGAAATGTGTTCTCAAATTTGCTACCAGCTTCTTTTTGTAAGAACTTTTTTTGTCATGCATCATGTAAACAAAAGCATGGACCAAGCACGAATGTTGAGCATGGTAGAACCAGGAAGTTCTACTTTCTTCTTTGGGCAAGAGCAATCTGTGTACATTCTTAGGAAGCTTGAAGAAGACAAAATTAGTAATTTCAGTGAAGTAGAATTTCAGTCTTTTGTAGTTTATATCCTCTTTTCACACCAATCTTAAACAGTGGGTGTGCAAGTGTAAGGGCTCTGTTTTAGAGCATTTCGTCAAATACATTAAAAGATGTGTCACTATTCTAACAAGACCATTGAAATGTTCTCTTATATTTTTATCACACAAACCAGCTGTTGATTTTGGAGTAGCCTATACTCACTTCTGATGTTAGAAAATGAAAATAAAGTATCTTTATTATCCTATAATCTAATACGAGCAATGTTTACTTGTATGCTTGCTTGCTTGCAAATAAGATCTCGAAAACGGCTCTGACGATTTTTTTCAAATGTTGTAATTAGTTTATTTCTGGCCTAAAAACAAGTTTACTGCAGTTAGAACTGCCAAAAAAAATCTAATTACGTAGAAAAATTAAACTGAAAATCACATTTTTTTAACATTAGTCTTATGGGTTGCTAGGTAACCATGTTGGATGAATTTTTTTTTTTTTTTTTTTTTTTTTTTTTTTTTAACTTAATTTTATTTTACAATCTGTTCAGTACTTTGAACAATTAGTAAAAGGGATAATATAAATAAGTGTCTTGACCAAGAATCTTCCCTGTGAAAGATCTTGCAAAATTAAATAGTCATGTCATAACTAAAACTATACAAATCGGTATGGGAGTTCTAGAACTTTCACAATTTTCAGTCTGTTGGGAAAATCACTATTGTCCAGCAAATTAACGGCTATATTGTTCGGGTGGGTTTCGAGTTTTTCTTGATAGTTCTTAACAAGGATAAAGTAAACAAAAGACTTGAAGTTGTAGCATGTGTTCATAATAAGCCAACT